AAAATATTCTTTCTGAAACTATATTCCTAAAAATTCCATGATTTTTGAAAATAAATTCTTTGAAAAAATATTGTTCAAAAAATCTACGATTTTTAAAAAAAAAAATCCATGATTTTTGAATATTATTTCTTTAACAAATCCACGATTTTTGAAAATAAATTCTTTAAAAAATCCACGATTTTTGAAAATAAATTCTTTAAAAAATCCACGATTTTTGAAAATAAATTCTTTAAAAAATCCACGATTTTTGAAAATAAATTCTTTAAAAAATCCACGATTTTTGAAAATAAATTCTTTAAAAAATCCACGATTTTTGAAAATAAATTCTTTAAAAAATCCACGATTTTTGAAAATAAATTCTTTAAAAAATGCACGATTTTTGAAAATAAATTTTTTAAAAAATCCACGATTTTTGAAAATAAATTCTTTAAAAAATCCACGATTTTTGAAAATACACATAAGTCTGTTTTTACACGGTCTTTTTGTACAGGGTTTTGATATAACACGGTTTGAAAATTGAATATTTTTAATTTTTTTACACTATTTTATTCCATTTAGCACGATTTGAAATTTTATGTACTTAAATTTTTTTGTCAAATTTAAGTTTTGCGAAGCTGGTCAAAGCAAATGTGAATAGCACTAATTTAGGGGAATTCCCTTTATATGCATACAATAAAATTTACTGGTCAGAGCAATTGAAACGTGTTAACATTTTGTGAACTGTCAATGCAATAAGACGTGTTTGGTAAAAAAAATAAAAAAAATTAAAAATTCTTGTTTTTCACTAATTTTAATAGGTTTTAGAGATTAGGAACAAATTACCCATTTTTGTATAAGATCAATGTCTATTTTACACGGTTTTTTTTTACACGGCTTCTTCTGGAACCAATCTACCGTGTAAAAACAGATTTAGGTGTAAATTCTTTAAAAAATCCACGATTTTTGAAAATAAATTCTTTAAAAAATCCACGATTTTTGAAAATAAATTCTTTAAAAAATCCACGATTTTTGAAAATAAATTCTTTAAAAAATCCACGATTTTTGAAAATAAATTCTTTAAAAAATCCACGATTTTTGAAAATAAATTCTTTAAAAAATCCACGATTTTTGAAAATATATTCTTTAAAAAATCCACGATTTTTGAAAATAAATTCTTTAAAAAATCCACGATTTTTGAAAATAAATTCTTTAAAAAATCCACGATTTTTGAAAATAAATTCTTTAAAAAATCCACGATTTTTGAAAATAAATTCTTTAAAAAATCCACGATTTTTGAAAATAAATTCTTTAAAAAATCCACGATTTTTGAAAATAAATTCTTTAAAAAATCCACGATTTTTGAAAATAAATTCTTTAAAAAATCCACGATTTTTGAAAATAAATTCTTTAAAAAATCCACGATTTTTGAAAAATAAATTCTTTAAAAAATCCACGATTTTTGAAAATAAATTCTTTAAAAAATCCACGATTTTTGAAAATAAAATCTTTAAAAAATCCACGATCTTTGAAAATAAAATCTTTAAAAAATCCACGATTTTTGAAAATAAATTCTTTAAAAAATCCACGATTTTTGAAAATAAAATCTTTAAAAAATCCACGATCTTTGAAAATAAAATCTTTAAAAAATTCACGATTTTTGAAAATAAATTCTTTAAAAAATCCACGATTTTTGAAAAAATAACCTTTAAAAAGTCCACGATTTTTGAAAAAAAAATCTTTAAAGAATCCATGATTTTCGAAAAAAATACTTTTTAAAAAATTCACTATTTTTGATTTTTTTCTTAGAAAAAATATTCTTTAAAAAATCCACGATTTTTGACTTTTTTCTTTGAAAAAAATATTCTTTAAAAAATCAACGATTTTTGATTCTTTTCCTTTGAAAAAATATTCTTAAAAAAAATCTACGATTCTTGAAAAAATAATCTTTAAAAAATTCACCATTGTCCATTTTTTCTTTGTATTTTTTCAAAGAAAAAATGGACAATGGTGAATTTTTTAAAGATTATTTTTTCAAGAATCGTAGATTTTTTTTAAGAATATCCACGACTTTTGAAAATAAATTCTTTGAAAAAATATTTTCAAAACATCCAAGACTTTTGAAAATAAATTCTTTGAAAAAATATTCTTAAAAAAATCCACGACTTTTCAAAATAAATTCTTTGAAAAAATATTCTTAAAAAAATCCACGACTTTTGAAAATAAATTCTTTAAAAAATATTATTTAAAAATTCAAGAAAAAAATCTTTGGAAATGTATTCTTAATTATTGGTCAGAGGTCCATAAAAAAAATTCTTTAAAAAATCCACGATTTTGGAAAAAAAATCTTTGGAAATGTATTCTTTAAAAATCCACGATTATTGGTCAGAGGTCCATAAAAAAAATTCTTTAAAAAATCCACGATTTTGGAAAAAAAATCTTTGGAAATGTATTCTTTAAAAATCCACGATTATTGGTCAGAGGTCCATAAAAAAAATTCTTTAAAAAATCCACGATTTTGGAAAAAAAATCTTTGGAAATGTATTCTTTAAAAATCCACGATTATTGGTCAGAGGTCCATAAAAAAAAATCTTTAAAAAATCCACGATTTTGGAAATTTATTCTTAAAAATCCACGATTATTAGTCAGAGATCCATAAAAAAATCTTTAAAAAATCCACGATTATTGGTCAGAGGTCCATAAAAAAAATTCTTTAAAAAATCCACGACTATTGGTCAGAGGTCCATAAAAAAATTCTTTAAAAAATCCACGATTATTGGTCAGAGGTCCATAAAAAAAAATTCTTTAAAAAATCCACGATTTTGGAAAAAAAATCTTTGGAAATGTATTTTTAAAAATCCACGATTATTGGTCAGAGGTTCATAAAAAATCTTTAAAAATGCATGATTTTTGGCAAGAGGTCCATAAAAAATTCTTTAAAAATCACGATTATTGGTTAGAGGTCCATAAAAAAAATCTTTAAAAAATCCACGATTATTGGCTTTTTTTTGAAAAATATTCTTTAAAAAATCCACGACTTTTGAAAATAAATTCTTTGAAAAAAATAATCTTTAAAAAATCCACGCTTTTTTTAAATAATAATGTTTAAAAACCCATGACATTAGAATATAAATTCTTTTAAAAAATATTTTTTAAAAAATTCACGACTTTTGAAAATGAAAAAATATTTTTTTTAAAAATTCCACGATTTTTGAAAATAAATTCTTTGGAAAAATATTCTTTAAAAAATCTACGATTTTTGAAAATAAATTCAGAGGTTAGAGGTCCATTAAAAAAAATTTTAAAAAAACCCTATGGTCCCAAAAAATATCCTTTCAAAATCCACGATTATGGGTCTTAGAGTTAATTAAACAAGTAAAAAAGCTGTAAGTTTGGCCGGACCAAACTTTAAATACCCTCCACAATTTGGAACGAATTTGGCAATTCTCAAAAACAATAATATCCGTTAAAAATTCTGTTAAAATCTTAAAAACACCGAATGTAGCTGTTATATTACAATATTCAAATACGAAACTTAAAAAAAATGGTGAATAATTTCGCTAAAATCATCAAATACCGAATATCGGGAGGTACCCTTATATGGGGTCTATTCGAAGACGTAGACCTTAGGCTGTAATATACATTTCGAACTTCGAATACCAAATTTGAAACAATTCCGGTTAATAATGTCGCTAAAATCATCATCATACCTCATCGGGAGGTACCGTTATATGGCGCCTATACAAAGACGTGGACCTGCACTGAAAATTTTCTGTCTTAGACTGTAATGTCCATTACGAACTCTAAATACGGAATTTTAAACAATTCTGGTGAATAATGAAGCTAAAATCATCAAAATACCGAATATTGGGAGGTACTATTATATGGGGATATAGGAAGACGTGGACCTCCATACAATTTTTTTTCTGTCTTAGGCTGTATATTCCATTACAAGCTTCAAATACCAAATTTGAAACAATTTCGGTGAATTATGTCGCTAAAATCATGGAAATACCGAATATCGGCAGGTACCATTATATGGGTTCTATACCAAAACGTGGACCTACATGGCCCATTTTCAGTACTAAAAGTCCTGCAGATATAATATAAATTTGAGTAAAATTTTATCAATCTACTTCAATTTGTTCGGAAGCTAGAGTGATTTCCACAGGATGACAGACGGACGGACATCGCTAAATCGACATAGAATATTATGCTGATCAAGAATATATATACTTTGTGGGGTCGAGGTGTTACAAACGAAATGACAAACTTAATATACCCTCCATACTATGGTGGAGGGTATAAAAAGCTTCTTTCCATAATCCAACATTATTGAGGATCCAAAAAAAAAATTCCAGGATTATTAGTTTGAAGATCCATAAAAAATATTCCATAGAAATCCGCGATTATTGGTCTGAAGTTCCATTAAAGATATTCGATAATAAAATCAGTTACAGAATATTACAAAAAAAATACAATGGTAATATGTACATTTGTTTCCCCATAATTTTTCACTGTGTAACCAATATTGAGTCCGAACTACCAAAATTGTGGTTACCTTCAAAATAAACTACACTGCAGTGCAAACGAACCGAGCAAGGTCCAACGACTAAAAGAAAAACAAAGCATAATACAGCCCCTTCCCGCCAAACCACACGCTTGCCTCTTCTGCAGCGACGACCTAAGTCGTCTTCGTAGTTTTAAGCTATCGTCCAAAACCATGACGATGACTGGGTTATTGGCTAATTGAAAACAAAAGTGATTGGCGACAATGGCACCGTCACCGTCACCAGCACCACTACCACCAACACCACTAGTCCGGTTGTCGATCAGAGCCTCTGGTTTTTATATCGGTTAATTATGAGCCGACGTCTTTGGCCGTTATGATTATGTTGAGGTTAAATGGAAATTTTGATGATCATGTTTTTTGATTTGGCCAAGCGACCGTTAAAACAATGGTTACCTACAAAGAAACGCATTTCATTTTGATTGGCATAAATATTTATGAAGTTTTTACCCACCTTTTTCGAGTTTGGTTTCGCCTTAAACCACCGCTACTAAAATCTTTTGGAAATCATCCACACAAATGCAATTCAAAAGGAAAAACTTCAATATTTTGCATACAAATTATTTCGTTTAACACAAATATTTTTTTTTAGTTGGTAAAACAACCCACTCTCTCTCTCTCTTCTCCACGATTTTACTTGCTCTCTTTTCTTTATTTGTTGGTTACAATTTCTTCTTGATTTTCCTTCGTTTACATTATTTAACTTCTTTCACATCATTTCTCTCATTCACATATTGCATTTTTCCATATAATATTTTTTGATTATTTCAATTTTATTTTATTATTTTTCAGAGATGACTTGGCTTTTATGTTGTTTTACTTCTTCTTTGACTTTCGAAACCGAGTTATGGTTGTGTATAAGTGTGTGCGTGCATGCAATGTTTATGTTTTTATTTGCACATACATTTTACAGACGAATGAAACTCGCGCGAGTTTTAGCTTTTCTATTTTAACCGTAATGTAAGAAACCGTTATTGATGTCTATACGCGACCACGATTAGTTAATAACTGACAAGATCGGTTGTGCGCAATGTAGCAACAATCAACACAAATACTGATTGAAAGAGCTTAAACTTTAGTTAACTCTTAAAGAGTTAATACATAATAAGGATTAGTGGTGGAGAAGAGAGAGAGAGAGTGTTGTCAAGTTTAAAGGGTTGCCATATTTTGAATTTACAGCCACTTAGATGACCGGAAACCTCTTAACGGTTGTGTTTATATAAAAAGACTTTATAGGGTTTTATTATAAAAAAAACATTTTTAATACTTTGTAGCAACGACAACAAATCTATAATTGAACATTTGTCAAAGAACTATTGGGAAATGACGTAACATAAATGTTTGTCAGAATTTTTGTAAGGCAAGTTTCCTGCCGACAATTCTTTGCTTGTAGAAGAGTGTTTAAAGGGAATGGAAATAGAAAAAAATTTGCTCGTATTAGTAATTTTCTGGCAATTTCATTTGTGTGTTTTTTTTTTTTTTTTTTGTATAAAAATATAGATAAAAATAACAGGAAAGGCAATGATGGAAAAGAAAATTGCTAAAAATAATTGCCTTGTAAAAAAGCAAGAGGCAAGTTCAAAGGAGAACGGTATAAAAAAAATCGCCTAGTATAAATCAGGACTTTCATTGATGTAGCCATGGTAGAAGAATATGGGTAGATGCATCAACACTTGGAATCATTGATATGTGAACATTTTTAAAATGTTTTTTTTTTTTTTCAAAAAAATGTAGATTTGTATAAGTTTTCATATATGACACCAATCAGAGGTTGTAATTACATGCAGTTTTCAACAATTTTGACATATTTGAATAATTTTTCATTAAAAAATGTCAATTGTAAAATGGGTTTGAAAGTTTATTGTCCCAGCAGCTGTGTTGATGCGACTACCTGTATTCTTCTGCCATGGATGTAGTCTTTACGATTTCGGCATGGTAGAAGAATACATGTAGTAGCGTTGACATACCTGCTGGGACAATGAACTGTCAAATCAATTTTGAAATTGAAATTTTGTTGAAAAAATTTTTAAAAATGCATATCATAACAACCTCCGATTGGAATACAAAATATACAAATCTACTCATTTTTGAAAAGAAAAAAAAAACGAAATCTAGAAAATGCATTGGAAATATTACAGAAATATGTTATTCCGAAGTGGCAAAAATGGCAGAAAATGGTTTCAAAAATCTATTCCATAGCATTTCCGTGTACATAGAATCGAATACAAGAAAATCCTATAAAAGTGTCAGCTTTGTTATATTATAACATAATGCTATGTCATTATATGCATGGCTATGTCATGACTATATGGGGACATAACATATATTTCCACTACCAGCGCCATCTATTGTATCAAATCAACAAGGAAATGCCCCATCTTATTATATATGTCTTTGGTAACTACCTTTTAATAATTATACCATAATAACCCTTGAATGATGTTATATAAGAAAACATTTAAAAATCATTTTATTTTTGCAGAAACTTTTTAGTAATTTTTGACAAATGAATGTTAATTAGCGTTAAAGCATCTGTCTGAATACATCTATCAGGCTACAAAGTAACACACATTTCGTCTAATGGCGCCTTATACATGTCATTACAATCTCAACACATGGTCATCGCCGTTGTTAATTTTGCGCAGCACCAATATCTGTTTTTTAACGACGCCAGCCGTAAACGCCATGGTTGTGTTACAGATGTGTTACCGCTTTTTGGTAACCTTGCCAGATGGGTTGTAATTCATAATGCTCTTATCTTTAGTAGGATGTTTGTAAACAAATGCAGTTTTTAGAAGAAATAATTTATCAATTAAAATAACACGATATGGACCAAAGCGCAAGTCAATCGACGGATCGAAAGCAGCGTTATAAATTAATTATCGATGAGCTGCAGACAATAAGTAATTATTCTCATTTTCCCATTTATAATTGCAAAGTTTCGATTAGTTTGATATTTGCTTACAGATAAATGCATTGGAACCCGCGAAGAAAGTGAAACATGTTCAGCCTTGCGAAATATCATAGAACGTAATGATAACATTCACAAAGAGGGTAGCATTGGTGATAAGCTAGAAAATACCAGTGAAGTTGTGCTGGATGCACAAATTCTCAAGAGTACCCATGAGTCAATATCGAAATTATTGCAGGCCAGCTCTGAATTCAATGATGGAATGTATCAGAATGCCATAGTAAGAACAATGACACATACACACTCTCCCACACAAGGGCATTTTCTAGAACTATTGCATATAAATTCCCTTTCCCTTTACAGAGTGCCTTAATATCCCATAATGATGGCGAAAACTGGCAAGATATTACCCGGTTGGCTTTGTTCTGTTCCAAATCGGTGGCCACCAAATCATCTATGCTGGGCGCCGCCGATATCGAGCCCAAAGAACGTATTGTCAAGGAGAGACAACAACGACGGCGGACGGTACTCAGTCAGGAGAAAAAGCCCGAGACGATACAACAATTAAAACGTGGTGATCGTGGTGCGGAAAAAGTTAATATATTACTGAAACAACTTGATGTGATTTTTCGTGCGAATCACCGGCAACCGATACCTTATTACAAGCTAATCATTGATCCTCATGATTTTATGAATACCGTGGAAAATGCATTTCAAATGGCATTCTTGGCCCGTGATGGAAATATTGCCATTGAAAGTAGTGGCAGTGACGGTTTGCCTCATGTCCGTTTGGCTCACAAAGACGAGCTAGATGCCCATCCAGATACATCACAGTCGATATGTTCGCTGAGTATGGATTTGGTGCAGGTAAGGAAAGAATTGGGAAATGCTCCAAACGAAACAAGTTGGAATCTTTTTTAGTTTTAATTACAAGAAAACAAGTAAAATAGTATCAGTCGGTTTTGCCGACAGATATATACCCCCTAGCATTGACTTATGATTATCAAAACTGTTTAACTTTTATGGGGGAGGTTCCAAAGCAGTTGGACAATATTAACCAATTCATATCTGACCTAAGACTGATAAAAATATTACAACGTGCCAGATTTGGACAATATCGACTATTTCCTATACTTTATATGAGATATATGCAAATTTTTGGAAAATGTTGAAATATGCATGAGGTAAAAGATATAGCGCCGGAAGTATTCCGTTTTCATACTTCATCTAATACAGATAAAAATATTGGCATGCACAAAATTTGAAGGAAATCAAACATTTATATCCAATTTTATGCGAAATCATAAATTTCGATAAAACACATATTTATATCAGATTTCTGGTTAAGATAAATATTTAGGTATAGCAAGTTGTAAAGAATCGCCGACTTGTTTCGCAAATTATGACAGACATAAGTATTGAAAATTGTGACCCTTTGTAGGTGAGGTACCAGAAGGGGTTGGCAGCAGTATATCATCTTCACAATCTTGTCTTAGCAAAAATGTTTGTATAAATTTGAGGAGATGGATGGATGGATTCGGATGCTAATTTCGCTTTCTTTGAGCATTTTGTCTTTCAAAACCTTGAACCCTATGTGGGGGAGGTACCAGAAGAAATGGTGCTATATCTAACATCTTTCTAACAGATCTTGTGTTGATGAAAATATTAATGTTCAAAATTTCGACATTTTGTGGGGGAGGTACTTGATGGAGTGGACCGATATTATCCATCTTTGCATCTGACCTAGAACTGACGAAATATCAGGATTTGCAAAAATGGAGCAAAATCGGACTGTCGTTCCTCTTTCTATGCAAAAAAAAAAAATAATTTTTTTTTTTTGAAAATTTCGACCATTTGTGGGGTTGGTACCAGAAGGAGTGGACCGATATATTCCATCATAACAACAGACCTTGGGTTAACATAAATATTCTTATATCACATTTTATGAGACTTGTAATTATTCAAAATTTTGACCATTTGTGGGGGAGGTACTTGATGGAGTGGACCGACATTGTCCATTTTCACACCTGATCTAGCACTGATGCAAATATTAAGATTTGCAAAGTTGGAGCAAAATCGGATTATGGTTTCTCTTTCTGTGCAGAAAATAATTTTTTTGAAAATTTCGACCGATATTACCCATCTCCGAACTCGATCTAAGTTTGACAAAAATATTAGGATGTACCAAGTTTGGACCAAATCAGATACTCCCTTCGAGAGTTATCGTACGCATCAGCCAGCCAGACAGACAGACGGACATCGCTAGATTGAATCCAAATGTTCTGAAACGGATTTGGTCCAAAGAGACCTAGGGTCTAAAACCGTTATTTCGACTAGGCACGTTTTGACCGCATCAAAGATATATACCCTCTGTAGCCATATGGCTGAGGGTATAAAAAGTCTATTTCAAAATTTTTCCGATAATTTTAAATATATTTAAAAAAAAGAGAATTAAAAAATCCGCTTATTAAAAAAATACTCGAATTTAATTTATCTAAATTTTAATTAAAATATCAACGATCTGAAAATTATTTTGAAAGAACCCAATACTATAAAAAAATTATAACGTTTCATATTTTTCTTTTTCAGAGAATGATCGAAATGTACGATATAGAGGAGCCGATGTTAAATATACCAACTGATATCGAGGAGCACAATGAAGATGATGAAAATGATTGATCATATTTGTAGGCATATTCCAAAGCAAAATACACATTCTACAAACCATGACATTTTATAATTCCTTAAAAACAAATGTCATAAAGTTCGCTTTTACAAATTCGACAAGAAGTCTAATGTTACTTACCTACGTACCTTGCTTGTATTGTCCAAATCTTAGTTTTTACAAAAATAAAATAAGAAACACAGAATTGTGTGTGTGTGTAATTTTTTATAATTTTGTCTTATAATTACAATAAGGTTTTTGTTGTTGTTTATTTTACGATAAATAGGCAATAATTTATTTTCAAAATTCCAAATATTTAAAAGTATATATATTTAAGGGCCGAATAATTAGCGTTACGCAAATGGAGTCAAATAAAATCATTTATCTAATCATATTTTAGTGGTCTTAACGGCTTTCCTTTGAATTTTGCCATTCAATTTGTTTTTCTCTCTTTTGTTTTTCTTGTATAATCGGGCTTTAGTATAAAAATATACATTTTAATTTGCATTTTTGAGAATCTGTTTTGTTTGCTTGTTCTATTCTTATTAACACTCTTATCTGTTTTGCATAAATCTCGTTATATATTGTAAAAAAAAAATAAATTTTAAAGGAACAAAATTAACAAAAAAATGCTTGCCTTTTGATGGTACTTTAAAAACCATTTTTGAAATAATTTGTTTTTTATACTTTCTTTAAATGATGATATGAAAACTAACCAACAAGGACGAAAGAAAATACAAAAGTAGACGTAAAAAAACAATAAGAGCTTAATATCGCTTAAGAAGTTGCTGTTTTTTTAATAATAACATTTAATTTAACCCGCCTTCAATTCGTTTATATTCTGCACCCGCCGCTTAGCCCTCTTGACCAAAGTCCTCTGTGAATTTACGCAGCTTTATCAAATCATCTTCATTGACGGTTGGCTTCGTGCGTGACAATGATTTTAACATATCGCGCTGAAATTGAATGGGTTGGGTTAATGTTAGCAAAATCGAGAAAGTGTGTGTGTTAAGGGTATGGATTGTAATTACCATTGTTACAGGTGGTTCGAACAATTTATCACCGGGCACATCTACCCAGCTCATTTCGATGGCTCCATCATCGCCTGGGGAGCAGGGTACCAGCAAGTCGTCACATATGATTTCCTTGTTTGTGGGAGAGGGACCAGTAACACGCTGAAATAGCAAATTCAAAATTTACAATCAACTGATATTTTTTAAAAATCTCTTAAAAATCCTCATAAAGTTGATTTTTATACCCTCAGTCATATGGCTAGAGAGGGTATTTATCATCATTTGCCAAAACGTGCCTCATTGAAATAAAAATTGTAAACCTTAGGTCTCTTTGGACCAAATCCGTTTCCGGACATTTGGAGTCGATCTAACGATGTCCGTCCGTCTGTCCAACCGTCTGTTTGGATGGCTGGTGCGCACAATTACTCTCGAAGAGGGTATCGGATTTGATTCAAACCTGATACATCGTAATATTATTTTCAAACTTAAATCGAGTTCGGAGATATTGCCCATCTCCTCTCGGTCCACTTCTTTTGATACCTCCCACACAAAATGTCCACATTTTCAAATAAAATAATTTACTGCACAGAAAAGGAAAGGATTATCCGATTTTGCTCCAACTTTGCAAATTCTATTATTTGTATCCGTGCTAGGTCAGGTGTGAAATTGGGATATATCGGTTCACTCCTTCTAGTACCTCCCCCACAAAGGGTCAAAATTTTGGATATTCATGAAGCTCATAAAACACGAAATTTACATACGATTCCATTCAGATTTGGCACATCTCAATGTATCTATCAACACAAGATATGTTACAAAGATAGTAGAAATCGGACCATTCCTACTGGTACCTCCCCACAAATGGTTTTAAAATAGTGAATGTTCATGAAGCTCTTAAAACCCGAAATTAACATCCGATTCGATTTAGACTTGGTACATCTCAATATTTCTATCAACACAAGATCTGTTATAAAGATGGGATATATCGGCCCACTCCTTCTGGTACCTCCCCCACAAAGGGTGAAAGTTTTGAATAATAAAAACTATCATAAAATCCGAAATAAGCATCCGGTTCTCTTCAAATTACACACATCGCAATATTTCTATTAACCCAAGATCTGGTGTTAAATTGGGATATATCGGTCCACTCCTTCTGGTACCTCCCCCACAAAGGTTAAAGATTTTCAATATTCATGAAGCTCATAAAACAGAAAATTAACATCCGATTCCATTCAGACTTGGCACATCTCAATATTTTCATAAACTCAAGATCAGTTATAAAGATGGGTGAAATTGGACAATTCTTTCTGGTACCTCCCCCACAAAGGGTCAATGTTTTGAATAATCAAAGCGATCATAAAATCCGAAATAAGCATCCGGTTCTCTTCAAATTGCACACATCACAATAATTTAATTAACCCAAGGTCTGGTGTGAATATGGAATATATCGGCGCACTCCTTCTGGTACCTCCCCCACAAAGGCTCAAACTTTAGAATATCCATGAAGCTCATAAAACACGTAATTAAAATCCGATTCCATTCAAACTTGGCACATCTGAATATTTCCATAAACAAAAGATCTGTTATAAAGATGGTGGAAATTGGACCATTCCTTCTGGTACCTTCCCCACAAAGGTAAAGGTTTTGAATAATCAAAAAGTTCATAAAATCCGAAATAAGCATCTGGTTCTCTTCAAATTACACGCATCGCAATATTTTTATTAACCGAAGAACTGGTGTGAAATTGGGATATATCGGTTTACTATTTCTGGTACGTTCCTCACAAAGGGTCGAAATTTTGAATAATCATGAAGCACTAACAACTCGAAATTAACATCCGATTCCATTCAGATTTGGTATATCTCGACATTTCTATCAACACAAGATCTTTTACAAAGATGGTAGAGATCGGACCATTCCTACTGGTACCTCTCCCACAAAGGGTCAGTGTTTTGAATAATCAAAACGATCATAAAATCCGAAATAAGCATCCAATTCTCTTCAAATTTCACACATCCAAATATTTTTGTTAACGCAATATCTGTTGTGAATATAGTGTACATCTGCCAACCCTTTCTGGTACCTCACCCACAAAGGCTCACAATTTCAATACTTATACAAGGAGCAATATTTACGAAATAATTAAAAATTTACTTTTTTGGAATTCCACTCTTGTGAAATACCTTCTCATGACGTCATGGAGACCATTTCTTGTGGGGTAATTATGGCATAGGATCCACTCGATCACACATATATGTGTGGAGTTGAACTCTTATTTCAATCGACAAACAGCCTTCGTTCGTGCGTATGCAAATGACCCCAAATTGAAACCCAAAGACCAGACAAAGAGACCTTTTTGGTAGAATTGCGGAACAAAAATTTCCACCACAAAATAAACCCTGATTAATGTGTTTCTCTAGAAGATTTTATATCTGGCGGGAACCTAAGTGCCGATCATTTGGTCCCAAAAACGCCACGCAAAACTTCAACAATTCAGAGAATTCTCAAATTATCAATGAAAACAAAACAAATTCCAATACCTTAAAATGTGTTGCTGTTTGTACTTTGCGAACGGGTTCCATAAGGGCATCGCGTACCACAATCGAGATATCGGCACCAGAGTACCTAAAAATCAAAAATTAACGATAACATTAAATAAATCCCCTAAAATAAATCTTACAAACTCACCCATCAGTTTTACCAGCCAATTCGCGTAAATTCTCTTCGGTCAGGACATGTGTTGTATTGCCCAAGTGAATTTTAAACATTACCAAACGGGCATGTGGCTCCGGCAAGGGTATATAGATACGTTTCTCAAAACGACGACGAATAGCCGAATCTAAAACCCATGGAATGTTGGTGGCACCCAACACTAAAATACCATCCGTGTCATTACCGACACCTTGCATTTGTACCAGAAATTCGGTCTTGATGCGACGAACACTGTCATTCTCGTTATCGGAACGTGCCGAACACATTGAATCAATTTCATCGATAAATATAATGGAGGGCTTATGTTGGCGGGCCAATTCGAAGAGGTTCTTTACCAACTTTTCCGATTCGCCCAACCATTTGGACATGAGATCCGAACTAGATACCGAAAAGAATGTGGAATTGTTTGCTTCGGTGGCAACAGCTTTGGCCAAATATGATTTACCGGTACCGGGTGGACCAAAAAGTAAAATACCCTTCCAGGGAATACGTTTGCCCGTAAAGAGATGAGGGAATTTAATGGGTAGAATAACGGCTTCCTTTAAGGCCTCTTTGGCGGCATCTAAGCCGGCAACATCAGACCACTTGACATGTGGTTTTTCAATGACAATGGCACCCTCCAGTTTACTTTGTAGTTTTTTCTTTTCCGGATCATCGCCATCCGAATCACTGTCGCTTTTCTTATCTTTATCATCTCTGAACATAATGAAAGAGAGGAACATTTAATAAATAATAAAAAGGGGCGGAAATGCCAGCATTTACTTACTTGGAACTCGATTCACCCTCCTTGACAGGCTTTTTCTTGCCCTTCTTCAAGTACTCCTTAAGTTTTTCGGCACGATCTAAATATTGCAAACATTTGGCCCGTATAGAATCTTTAGCTTTTTCACCTTGGGCCTCGTCTAGAATACAAAACAATCAAAAAATAACTTCTAAACCCCAATCTTAAATCACTTACATTTGATGGCATGAAGGAAATACTCCACACCATGCTCGTACAGACGCAAAGCCTCAGCATAGTTTTTATTGCGATCCTCTTCGGTCGCTTTAGTCACTAAATCGATGGCCTTCTGTAGTGTTGTACCAGCAGCCATGACCGAACCAACTAAAAATAATTAGAAAAACAAAACACAAATCAATAAACAAACGACACGAAGGAAGTCGAACTCCTCCAGTAGGTTCCTTCACCACCACTCTGGCTTAGGAGTGACATCATAGATTATAATGTTTGTTTTCTGTGTGTTGTGTATGACAGCAAGCATTTGTGTAGGGATACAAATTATGAAAAAAAAAAAAGAATGTTATTCTTCTCTGCGCTTCTCATCAGTGCACAAACAAAAATTGTATGACTAATGCATCCATCACTCGGTAGTAATTTTTTGTGTGTTTCGAAGATAGATGTTTTGAATAATAATTTGTTGCGTTGAAACTGAGAAAATATTCGTTCATAATTTTTGTCATCGTATACGTACTTTAGTTCTACCTCTTTGTATGTTTTAAAAAATTTCACTTGTTTTGTTTTTTACTTCGTTTTTTCCTTATATTTCTATTACTTTTTCGCTTCTTCACCGACAAATTCCAGCTATTCTTCTTTTGCGACACAAAAACAACAATTAGGATTACGAATTGATTGATAGGGGATGTCTAGGTCGTCTTTTGACTAATCGGTTTATCGATTGTTGTCCTTGACAATTAGGGCTTTATAGGTCGGTACTTTAGTGGTAGAGAGAATTAAGCTTGGTACAATCATGACAAAATAAAGGGCTAAGTACATAAGAAGCTTGAAGTTATGGCACGGCCTATTTTGTGACATTTCACAAAGGAATTACAGAGCCGCACTAAAATCCTGCCGTCGTTTTTCTTTATAATTTGACATTAATATGCCTAGCCATGACTTCAAGCTTTTTATGTATTTGCAGCCTTACATTTTTTTCTTATGGTGTCCTTATTTGTCAAAAATATACCCATTTTGTGCATGTGTGTGTATTGCTTTGAATAAAACATACAATAATTTGGAACTATTTCAAATTCGGTTGCAAAATAAATGCATTTTTTTGACGTTAATGGGCAACACATCGTAAAAATAATGATAAAACTGTATTGTCCTACTATTTTAGATTCAATCTTGTGAAATAACAACAAAATTTCAAATTTTATTAAAAATTTAAAAATAAACAAGACCAACTATTGCATATTTATATGACACTAAAAAACTCCAACACATAGATGCATATTTATACCCCCAGCGATATGGCCTGATAGGGTATATATCATTTTATACGGCTAAAACGTGCCTCATCGAATAACGGTCTAGGTCTCTTTGGACCAAATACGTGTCAGGACATTTGGAGTCTATCTATTTGGCACAATAACATGGAGTATCCGATTTGATCCAAACTTGGTACATCGTAATATTATTGTCAAACTTAGATCGAGTTCGGAGATGGGCAATATCGGTCCACTCCTTCTGGCATCTCCCCCACAAAATTTCAAAATTTTCAAAGAAAATAATTAACTGCACAGAAAGAGAAAGGATAATCCTATTTTGCTCCAACTTTGAATATCTTAATATTTGCATTAGTTTTAGGAAAATGGACAATATCGGTCCCATGGAAGAAGAATATAGATAGATGCATCAACGCTTGGGACAATGTTCCCATGTCAAAAGTTTTGATTTTTTTTTTCAAATATAAGTACATTTTTCTATTTTTAGTTTGACAGTTAATTGTCCCAGCAGCCACCATGATCAGTACCTCCCCCACAAAGGCTCAAAATTTTGAATAGCAATCACTACTATAGAATGTGATGTAAGAGTCCCATTGTCTTCAATTTACACACATAACAATATTTTTATTAACCCAAGGTCTGGTGTGAATATGGATTATATCGGTTCATTCCTTCTGGTACCTTCCCCACAAAGGATTAAAATTGTGAATATTCATGAAGTTCATAAAACTTTCCATTCAGACTTGCACATCTGAATATTTCTATTAACACAAGATTTGTTAAAAAGATCGGACTATTCCTTCGGGTACCTACCCCGAAAAGGGTAAAAATTTTGAATAACCAAAACGATCCTAAAATATGAACTAAGCATCCGGCTCTCTTTAAATTACAAAAATCACAATATTTTTTTTAACCTTGTGTGAAGCTGTAGTATATAAAAACATAGATTTTTCAGGTCTAACTGCTAAATCCTGTAAACTGTATACGTATTATCATGGTAGAAGAATACAGGTAGATGCGTCAACGCTTGGGAACATTGATATGTTAAAAATTTTGAAATATTTCTTTAAAAAAAGTAGGTTTGTATATATTTTCCTATATGACGCATTTTTTAACAATTTTTACAAATTTAAGTAATTTTTCATTCAAAAATTTCAATTTCAAAGTAGATTTGTATATATTTTCCTATATGACCCCAATCGGAGGTTGTTATGATACGCATTTTTTTTAACAATTTTTACAAATTTAAATAATTTTTCATTCAAAAATTTCAATTTCAAACTTGGGACGACAGTTCATTGCCCCAGCAGCTGCGTATTACGTCTTAATTAAAATCTCTTTTGGGTAAACATAATGTTACTCTAAAAAATCCCCACTAAATTACTACGCAACTCTATTATTCATGTGCCTTGGCAATCATGTCAACTGTCAAATTGTTTTTATCAAAATATTTATTTCTCACACTGCCTGATGAAAGGGTTCTTTTTCTGATTTATTTTATTCGTTGAGTTGAGTTCAGGTAGTTTGTTTTAAATTACATTAAAATATCATAGAGTGCATAGTGCATTTTCTGATTCAATTAATAAACATTGCAATTTAAGGCATTCTTTAATTGCAAAATATTGAGAAAATCCAACAAGTGTTAAATTTGGGGTGGAAAACATAGCCGTAATTGTGAAATTTTTACGGGAGCGATAATGTGAGTAGAGCGTTTTGTTGGTTGGTTTCAACAACAAAAACAATGAAAATTTATTAAACAAACATTTGGTTAAATACGTACGTACATATGTAGTTAAATATGAAAGTGCTAAATCATGACAATTAACATTTTTTAATCGCTGTTAAATTAGCACACTTCACAACCCCCTCGGTCGTGTGAAAGGGGTTAGGTTATAAAACTAGGTGCTGCAAGGACGGTAACTACAACAGTAACTATTTTTTTTTAATTTGTAACGTTAGAGGAAACACCATTAATTAACCAACATGGCTGAACATCCCACAACACTGGAAGAATGCATTGCATTGCCACTGAAGGAACCGGAATTGTTGGAGGTCACAGAAAAGGCCAAAGATTGGGCCATAATGCATGGTGCTGCCATGAGATCTAAAACTAATTTTAGTCCTGACTCATTGAATGTAAGTTTGAAATGTAATTTTTTCGTTATTCCATTTTGAGTCATTTGAAAAAATCCCAATTTTTTACAGTTTGCTCCATTCTTATTGACACCATCATCTTTTCCCCGCAAAGAATTCGAAAAAGCTGTGGCTTTGCAAACAATTATTAATCGTCTGATGCACAATGTGGCTCATGATGAAGAGTTCCTAACAACAACACTGGCCGAAACCATTAAAGTTGATGAATTCACAGCGAATTTGTTTAATGTCTACAAAAAGGTTTTGGCAAGTGGTTTTGGACAGGTAAGTGGATTTGGTTTTGTTTTGTTGCAATTAATTTCCATAATTAATACGTTTTTCAAACACTTTTGTTAAATTTACCAACGAAATTATTTTCGAAACCATCCATAAGCGTACAGGATAAGTTTCCATTTGTCATACAACATCGTATCTAACATTTGTCATTTCGTGGTGATTTTTTTGTGGACAATTTATTTTGGAATATATTTTTAAACAAAAATTCCGGAGGCTTATTTCTTTAAAGTGGTTGGTGGCATGGTAGTTAGAAACGATTCAATATTAAATTCAATTCAATATTAGATCATGGTATTTAAAAGTTAATTTTTCATTGATATTATTTCATAGTTCATCTGATCAATGATTCTTGAATTTCTCTAAGACCGACTAACCAATAAACCTGGATTTTTGAACAAAATAGGGTGAGATGAAAAAACTGCAATCAACTTCAGACTGTTGTCATTTCTAAGCCACTTGTCTTTTGTGTCTCGTACCATCGCTCGTTACCGTGATACTGGTAGCGTAGCCCGACTTCAAGGAAGTGGACGGAAGAAAACAACAACATCAGCAGAAAAGGTTCGGAAAGCAACGAAGCGACTTGATCGAAATCCGCGGCGTCAGTGGCCGAAAAATAGCTCGTGAGCTGAGCATATCGCTATATTCCATTCGGAAAAAATTGAAAAATGAGCTCGGGTTAAAGCCGTTGAAATTCCAAAAAGTGCAAGAACTTACACCGTCGCAACAGAAAGATAATAGACTCAAAAGAGCTAAAGAGTTGCTTCGCTTGACCGAAAGTGGTGAACTGCCAAATTTAGTCTTCTCTCTCTCTCCGATGAGAAAACATTCGTTGTCCAGCAGTTTGTAAACAAACAAAATGATGGTGTTTACTTGCCAAAGAGGTCAGCTGAAAATGTGCACCTTCGGTTGGCCACCAGAACTCAAGCGCCGGCCATGGTGGTGGTGTGGGCCGCCATAACAGCCGATGGTCGCTCTGCGCTCGTATTAATCGATCGTTTCATCAAAATAAATGCCGAATATTATGCGGCGAAAATATTCTGGAGGGTGTATTAAAGCCCTGGGGACAAACATTTTGGGCGCAGTCCTTGGACATTCCAACAGGACATAGCACCATTGCACTCAGCACGCGCCACCCAAGAATGGTTACAAAATGAGATTCCTCGCTTCATTTCCAGCGCACAATGACCACCAAAATCTCCAGATCCCAATCCGTTGGACTATTTTGTCTGGGGTATTTTGGAAAGCAAGGTTGGCACTAAAAAATACCAAAGTGTCGATCACCTCAAGCAATCTCTTCCCCTAGAATGGACCAAATATCGCAGGGCAATATTCGGGCAGCGTGTGACGGTTTCATTGGCCTTTTGAAGGCCATAATTCGTGCCAAAGCTGACCAATTTAAACCATTGACCATCTAAACTTATTCCAAAACTTGTGCAATTTCCGATATTTTTTGGCTCTCATTCAGTAAAATTAAAAAAAAAAAATGTAAAAATGATGGCGTATGGCTTTGTTGCAGTTTTCTTCTCACCCTGTATGTTTTCATGAATCATCTGACCAATAACCGGGGATTTTTAAGTAATATTTTCTATCTGACAAATAAATATGAATTATAAAATACATTTTTGTAATGACCACCAAACCAAAAAAATGGGGATTTTTAAATAATATTTCATCATGGACCATCTGACCAATAAACATGGATTTTAAAATAAAACTTTTTGATAGACCATTTTTTGATTGGATTTTCAAACGATGGTCTTTCTAACTATATGGACCATCTAATTAACAATGGCGAAATTTTGAAATAAAATTTTTCATGGATCATCTGGCCTCTAGGCTAGGTCTTTTTGAATTCATCAGAGGAGTTTCATAGAAGTTTTAGGTAACACTGTTTCATTGACCATCAGTTTTCTATTTTTTTCTAATTATTTGATTGCAATATCTGATTTAAAATGGCGGAATTTTAAAATAATTTTTTTTTCATGGATTATCTGGCCTCTAATTAAGGCTGTTTAGAGTCATCAGAGGTGTTAATCATTGAAGTTTTAGATAACAATATTTCATTGACTATCAGTTTTTTAATCGTGGAACTCATTTCTAATTAAAACGCCTGGAACTGCTGGAGCTCATCTAGGTACTCTAAATAAATTCAAAAAATTTCTCTTTCATTATAATTTTGAATATCCTGTAACATTTTCATATGTAACCCATCCAATATTTGTCTTATATTTTAATATTCCCCACTCCATAGCACTAGTAATAACAATCTTTTATTAATTATTCCATAATTTCTTCATTTATTTACGTTTAATTTTCTTTATTTATTTTCTTTTTTCACATTTCCTACCTTTTTCGCAAAAAAAATCAATCATGAAACTAAACGAAAAAAAAACAAAATAAAAAAAACGTAGCGCATATCGTTGGGTATTTTACGAAGTGATTTGATGTTGGAATCGAGCTGTAAAGACTTATTAAATGAAAATGGAAGCAATAAAGAAGAGAATGAAAAACCCTGTGCCTACTGTTGCTGGAAACAAGTTGAAATTAATACAATCGCATCTGGTTTTGGTCATTTAGGACCGGCCAGCAAAGCCATACAAAGGTGCAATTAATATATATATTTATTATGATTATTATTGTTATAACATTAGTTACTAAAACAACAATAATTTGTATTTAGTTTGCTTTGTTGGAAAATATTTACAGCAGTGGAACACGGTTGTAGTGAATATGAGAAGAAAAGAATATTTGGATTTTTTAATAATGAATCAATTTGGAAATGTGGGATGTATATAGAAAGAGAGTGAGAGAGAGAGGGAAATTGAAAGAGAGAGAACGAATTTAACGGTTTTCGTTTTTTTATATTTGTAGACGATAGCGGATTTTTAAAAAGATTTTTTATAACTATTTTTTATTTTAATTTTTTCTTTAAATATTTTTTTGAAGTTTTTCGATTTTTTAATGATATTTTTAAATAATCGTGAACTTAAAAAAAATTAAATGATAAAAAATAAAAAATATTTTTTATATTATCGTGGACTTAAAACTCTTTTTAGTGATCGTGGATTTTCCATAATATTGTTTAAACGATAGTGATTTTTTTAAATAGTTTTTAATTGATCGTGGATTTTTTAAAAATTTTAACCATGATCGTGGATTTTTTAAAATAATTTTTAATTCATTGTGGATTTTTTTAAAATATTTTTTAATTGATCGTGGATTTTTTAATATATTTTTTAATTAATCGTGCGCTTTTTAAAAATATTTATTAAATGATTGTGAATTTCTTTAAAAATATTTTTCAAATGATCGTGTTGTTTTAAATTTATTTTTAATGATTATGGATTTTTTAAAAATATTTATTAAATGATTGTGAATTTCTTTAAAAATATTTTTCAAATGATCGTGTTGTTTTAAATTTATTTTTAATGATTATGGATTTTTTAAATATATTTTTTTGATGATCGTGGATTTTTTAAAAATATTTTTTTGAAGATCGTGGATTTTTTAAAAATATTTTTTTGATGATTGTGGATTTTTTAAATGAATTTGAAATTTTAAAAATATTTTTTTGATGATCGTGGATTTTTTAAATGAATTTAAAATTTTAAAAATATTTTTTTGATGATCGTGGATTTTTTAAATGAATTTGAAATTTTAAAAATATTTTTTGATGATCGTGGATTTTTTAAATGAATTTAAAATTTTAAAAATATTTTTTTGATGATCGTGGATTTTTTAAATGAATTTGAAATTTTAAAAATATTTTTTTAAAAGATTTAAATTTTTTATAATATTTTTTAAATGATTTTGAATTTTTGAAAAAGATTTTTTTAAATGAATTTGAATTTTTTAAAAATATTTTTATTATTAAATTATTGATCGAGGATTTTTTTAAAATATTTTTTTTTTGAATTATCGTGATTTTTGTTTGATATTTTTTAAATTATCGTATATTTTTGAAAAAATATTTTTTAAATTGTAATTTTTTTATATATTTTTTTTTATTTGTTGTGAATTTTTGTTAAAAATATTTTTTAAATGTGGGTTAAAAAAATTATTGATCGTAGATTTTTTGAAAAAAATTTTTTAAATGATTTTTTTAAAATATTTTCGTGATTTTTTTTTAAATATTTTTTAAATTATCGTATATTTTTTGAATATTTTTTTTTTAAATTGTAGTGATTTTTTTAATATTTTTTTTAATTGCAGTGAATTTTTGTTTAAAATTGTTTTTAAATGATATAGATCGTGGATTTTTTAAAAATATTTTTAAATGATTCTATTTTTTTAATATTTTTTTAAACGAATGTTTAAAAATATTTTTTTGCATATATTTTTTACATGATTGCGGATTTTCATTTTTTTTTTAATTTTCGTGATTTTTTTAAAAAATATTTTTTTATTTCAAGTATCGTAATTTTCTTTTTTTAGTATTGTTTGAAAATATTTTTTACTTGATTGTGGGTTTAAAAAGAAATAAATTAAAAAAAATAATAGATTATATTTAATTTTTTTATACCATCAGCCATATGGCTACAGAGGGTATATATCATTTGATACGGTCAAAACGTGCCTAGTCGAAATATCGGTTTTAGACCTTAGGTCTCTTTGGAACAAATCCATTTAAGGACATTTGGAGTCGATCTAGCAATGGCCGTCCGTCTGTCTGTCTAGCTGGTGCGCGCGATAACGAAGGGAATATCCGATCCGATTTCGTCTAAACTTGGTATATCTTATTTATTTTTGTCAAGCTGAGATTGAGATGGGCAATATTGGTCCACTTCTTCTGGTGCCTCCTCCACAAAAGATCGAAATTTTCAATAAATAGAAAGGATCATACAATTTAGTACAAACTTTGCAAATCCTAATATTTGAATCAGTGCTAGGACAGATGCGAAAATGTACAATAACTCAAGTACGTCCCTCACAAAGGGTCAACATTTTGAAAAGTTACTACTCTTATAGAATGTGATGTAAGAGTCCGATTGTCTTCAAATGTAACACATCCCAATATTTATATTAACGCAAGATCTGGTGTTAAGATGGAATATAGGGGTCCACTCCTGCTGGTACTTCCCCCACAAAAGTTCGAAATTTTGAATATCCATTAAGCTCGGTAGATATCGGACCATTTCCTCTGGCACCTCCCCCACAAAGTGTCAACGTTTTGAATAACCAAAACGGTTATAAAATCCGAAATAAGCTTCCAGTTCTCTTCAAATCAGACATATCACAATATTTTTATTAGTCCAAGGTCTGGTGTAAAGAATGTGTATATCGGTCTACTCCTTCTGGTACCTCCCCCACAAAGGGTCAACATTTTTAATATCCATGAAGATCATAAAACGCGAAATGAACATCCGATTCCATTCAGACTTGGTACATCTCAATATTTTCATCAACACAAGATCTGTTATAAAGATGGTAGAGATCGGTCCATTCCTTCTGGTACCTTCACCACAAAGGGTCAACATTTTGAATAACCAAAACGTTCATAAAACCGGAAACAAGCATCCGGTTCTCTTCAAAGTTCACACATCCAAACATTTTAGCTAACGCAAAATCTAATGATAGTTATCTGCCAATCCGTTCTGGTACCTTAACCACAAAGGATCACAATTTCCAATACTTATATATGTCATAACTTGAGAAACAAGTCGGCGATTCTATACAACTTGCTGTAAATAAATAGCCAGAAATATGATATAAATATGTAATTAATCGGAATTTATGATTTCGTATAAAAATGGATACAAATGTTCGATTTCCTTTAAATTTTGCACGTACCAATATTTTTATATTTATTAGATGAAGTATGAAAATAGAGTACTTCGGTCCGCTATGTTTGGATATAAAGAATAAGGAGTACTCGATGTGGTCCAAATCTAGCACGTTGTAATATTCAAATCAGTCTTATCAATATTGGCCAACTGCTTCGGAACCTCCCCCATAAAGGATCAACAGTTTGAATAATAATAACTCAAGTTTGTGGGTATACATCTGTCGGAAAACCCGACTGATACTATTTCACTTGTTAAAAATATTTTTTAAATGATCGTGGGATTAAAAAATTATTGATCGTGGATTTTTTAAAAATATTTTTTAAATGATTGTTCGAAAATATTTTTTAGATGACTGTGGATTTTTTAAAATTCTATTTTTAAATTAGGTGATTTTTTTAATTTTTTTTTAATAAACTTGTATTTTTATACCCTCAGCCATATGGCTACAGAGGGTATATATCATTTGATACGGTCAAAACGTGCCTAGTCGAAATAACGGTTTTAGACCCTAGGTCTCTTTGGACCAAATCCGTTTCAGAACATATGGAGTCGATCTAGAGATGTCCGTCCGTCCGTCCGTCCGTCCGTCCGTCCGTCTGTCTGTCTGTCTGTCTGGCTGGCTGGTGCGCACGATAACTCTCCAAGGGAGGATCCGATTTGGTCCAAACTTGGTACATCGTAATATCTTTGTCATACTTAGATCGAGTTCGGAGATGGGCAATATCGGTCCACTCCTTCTGGTACCTCCCCCACAAAAAGTTGGAATTTGCAAAAAAATTATTCTTTGCACAGAAAGAGAAAGGATAATCCGATTTTGCTCCAACTTTGCAAATCCTAATATTTGCGGCAGTACTCGATCAGGTGTGAAAATGGACAATATCGGTCCACTACATCAAGTACCTCCCCCACAAATGGTCAAAATTTTGAATAATTACAACTCTCATAAAATGTGATGTACGAGTCCGATTGTCTTCAAATTTCACACATCCCAATATTTATATTAAACCAAGGTCTGGTGTTAAGATGGAATATATCCGTCCACTCCTTTTGGTACCTCCCCCACAAATGGTCGAAATTTTCAAAAAATACATATTTTTTGCACAGAAAGAGAAACGATGATCCGATTTTGCTCCAAATTTGCAAGTCGTAATATTTGCATCAGTGCTAGGTCTGGTACGAAAATGGACGACATTGGTTCACTCCTTCAAGTACCTCCCCCACAAATGGTCAAAATTTTGAATAATTACAACTCTCATAAAATGTGATGTAAGAGTCCGATTGTCTTCAAATTTCACACATCCCAATCATTTTATTAGTCCAAGGTCTGGTGTAAAGATGGAGTATATCGGTCCACTTCTTCTGGTACCTCCCCCACAAATGGTCGAAATTTTAAAAATATATATTTTCTGCACAGAAAGGTAAGCAATAATATAATTTAAGACATAACGCTCAAAGAAAGCGAAATAAGGATCCAACTCTCTTCAAATTTCACACATACAAGCATTTTTGCTAACACCAGATCTGTTGTGAAGATGCTATATATCTGCGAACACATGCTGGTACCTCACCCACAAAGGGACACAATTTTCAATATTTTTATCTGCCATAAATTGCGAAACAACTCAGCGATTCTTTACAGTTGATTTATCCATCTGCTATTATAATATTTATATCGTATTTATTTAGGTCCGATACGAAATGAACAATATTGACCCATTCTTTCAAAACCCACTCCATAGAGGGTGAAGAGGGCTGAGGGTATACATCTGTCGGCAAAACCGACCGATACTTTTTTACTTGTTTAAATAGTTTTTTATGATTGTTCGAAAATATTTTTTACATGATTGTGAATTTACTAAACATTAAATTAAAAAAAAAAATAATAATATTAATTTAAATTAAAATTAAAAAAAAAGATTTTTTGAAGGACAGGATTTTTTAAGAATATTTTTAAGGAGCAGTGGTCAAGGGTTAATGTATATTCCTTTTTCTTATACATAATTGTTAATCTCAAAATTGTTACACAAAAAAATTCCTACAACCATGTTCAACTGTAAAATAATATATTATCTATTGGCTTATAATTCTATTAATTATTTTTGTATGTTTTCAAGTATTTAAAATATTGCTTTGTTGTTAGAGAATGCTTGTTTGAAATATTTGCTGCTTTTTTTTAAATAGTCTTCCGAGTATTTGAAAATTGATTGCATGATTGCGTTTAATAAGTGTTTTAAATTATTTACTTATTATTTTTGGCATACAGTTGGGCCAGGGATTCTTTTTCGCAGTGTAGATGATTTTTTTTATTACTGTGTTTCTGGCGGTTTTCAAAACTCTGAATAAATTGAGCCCACATAAAATTTTTTTCATATCAAATGACTTCTCTATTCCATTTCGAAGTTCCAAACTGTCACGCACCCACACACACACAACAGTCATCAATCAATCATTTGGTCTTAAGATTATTTCCTTTCTATTTTTAAATGACTTGGAATGCGATTTCATTTTTTTGGGTATATCTTTCCTTGTGTGGAATAGCTGTTAATCTCGTCATTTATTATTTTCAATGTTTGTTTCTTTTTTTTATGTTTTTGTTCTTTTTTTCTCTCTCGTTTCAATGGTACAATTACAGGACTTATCCCTGGGTATATTACGTTCCGACTATTTGGCTCACATCTTCGAAGGCAATGCCATAAAACAAGTTGAAATCAACACAATTGCCTCCAGTTTTGGTGGCATTTCGACACACATGTTGCCTCTGCAGAGGTATTTCCCAAAAACTTTTCCTTTTTTTCAAATTTAATATTATTTGCATAAGTAGCTCAAATTTTCTTCTTCTACGCAATACATGCCGTTGTCTTTTGTAAATATCATTTCATTTTTTTTTTATTTTTTTGTTAAAATGCGAAAAGGAATGGCATCTCTGTTAATGTAGTTGTAGTTGCAATTGTTTTTTTTTTTTTTTAATTTTTAGTTGCAATCTTTTATTGGTTTGTAAAATACAAAATATTGTGTAAATTTGTAATATTTATGTTTTTTGTAGTTTGTAATATATGTTAGTGTATGGTTGTTTAAATAGTTGTTATGTAGTTGCCAAAAAGAAAGTCCTTTTCCAATTCCAAATTGAAATCCAAAGGAATTTTATTGGCATTGGCTTTCGTTTTGGTATTTTAAAATAAAAAATATTTTTCTAATAAATTTCTATTTTCGATTTATTCATACCTCTAGCTTTGTCTTGACCGAACTGGACCAAGCGGAAAAATTGAAAAATGTAAGCTGTTTTTAATTAATTTTTGTTTTATTAAATATTTATTTAAAAATATCTTTTTTTCAGATGCCCGATAACCAGGCCCTGGCTGGCATTTGTGGTGGCATGATTCGTGCTTGGGAAATCTATAATAATCCAAAGGCCGTCATTATGTTCATTGTGGAAGATGTCACCTATAACATATGCGATCAGGTAAGGTAACTTTTTACAAAAACTACCCGTATTATATCAGAAGAGATGGGGGTCTTCTTTAGGAGACAACTAGACTTTTTTTTGAAAAAATCTATTTGGCAGAAGGGTGCACAGTAGGACGATTGAGTTTGTGGTATGCCTTGAGAGAAACTGTCATTACTGCCATACTTAATTTAATTCACAGCTACCAAAACTTCCCGAATCGGAATGTATAAACGCATTTCAAAGTTATAGCTTTGCTTTTCAACTAGTTTTTTTACAAGAGATTAACAGAACTTCTTTAGAACAAGTAAAATAGTAGCAGTCGGTTTTGCCGAAAGATGTATACCCCCAGTCTTGAGTTATAATTTCTGAGTTTCAGATTTTTGGTTAAGAGACATATTTAGATAAAGCAGTTATGACAGATAGAAGAATTGACAATTCTGACTTCTTCTAGGTTAGGTACCAGAAGGTGTTCGCAGATATATATCATCTTCGCAACAGATCCTGCGTTAGCAAAAATATTTGGATGTGTGAAATTTGAAGAGAGTTGATTTCTTTGAGCGTTTTGTTTTTCCTATGTGGTGGAGGTACCAGAAGGAATGGTCCGATCTCCACCATCTCTATAGCAGATCTTGCGTTAATAAAAATACTGAGATGTGACAAGTCTGAATGGAATGGACGTTCATTTTCGCGTTTTATGAGCTTCATGGATACCCAAAATTTTGACCCTTTGTGGACCGATATATCCCATCTTCACACCAGATCTTGGGTTAATTAAATTATTATGATGAGTGCAATTTGAAAAGAACCGGATGCTGATTTCGGATTTTATGATCGTTTTTTTGTCATTCAAAACTTTGACCCTTTGTGGGGGAGGTACCAGAAGGAATGGTCTGATCTCTACCATCTCAATAACAGATCTTGTGTTGATGAAAATATTGAGATGTACCAAATCTGAATAAGATCGGATATTAATTTCCCGTTTTATGAGCTTCATGGATTTTCAAAATTTGGAACCTTTGTGTGGAAGGTACCAGAAGGAGTCAACCGATATATCCCATCTTCACACCAGACCTTGAGTTAATAAAAATATTCTAATGTGTGAAATATGAAGAGAAGCAAATACTTGTTTCGGATTTTATAATCGTTTTTTATTCAAAACTTTGACCCTTTGTGTGGGAGGTATCGGAAGGAAAGGTATGATCTTTAACATTTCAATAACAGATCTTGTGTTGATGAAAATATTGAGATGTGCCAAGTCTAAATAAAATTGGATATTAATTTTCGCGTTTGATGAGCTTCATGAATATTCAAAATTTTGACCCTTTGTGGGGGAAGTACTGAATGGAGTGAACCGATATTGACCATTTTCGCACCTGACCTAGAACTGATGCAAATATTCGGATTTGCAAAGTTGGAGCAAAATCGGATTATCCTTTCTCTTTCGGTGCAGTAAATTATTTTCTTTGAAAAATGTTGACATTTTGTGGGGGAGGTAACAGAAGGAGTGGGCCGATATTGTCCATCTCCGAACTTGATCTAAGTTTGATAATAACATTACGATGTACCAAGTTTGAATCAAATCGGATACTCTCTTCGAGAGTTATCGTGAGCACCATCCAGCCAGACAGACGGACGGGCGGACATCGCTAGATCGACTCCAAATGTCCTGAAACGGATTTGGTCAAAAGAGACCTAGGGTCTAAAACCGTTATTTCGATGAGGCACGTTTTAGCCGTATCAAATGATATATGCCCTCTCTAGCCAAATGGCTGAGGGTATAAAAACTGGCCCTTCGCCACTTTATAGGTGAATAAAATAAAATAAAAATAAATTTCTTACCTTAATCCTTAACTGACAATTATAAACTTCTCGAAAAATTAAAATCGCATCTGAAAGGTAAATCATAGCTTCCCAACTGGTTTCCTTGGAATTTATTAGCTGGTCTTCTTTTGGAAAGTGATTGACAAAGTTATAGTGGGCCAGATAGTCTTCACAAAGATAAGTAGAACGTCTTCTTTTGAATGTAATTAATTCATTTTAGACCAGTAGACCTGTACCTGCTAAGCCTCTTCAAGAACTCTTTTTGGTCTATTAATGAAAAAAACTATCGATCTTTAAATATAAATCTCATTTTAACCCTCATTTCTATTTTTTTTTGTAGCGCTTCCATGAGTTTTATATTCGTGAAAAATATCCACACATCAAAGTTATACGTCGGACGCTTACCGAGGTTCATGATACTGGAAAACTTGGCCTGGCCAAGGAATTGCTTATGTAAGTAATGCTTGGCATTTTCTTTGCCATAATAAGCCAACAAATTGTTTCCATTTATATAGAGGAGATCTGGAGGTAGCTGTAATTTATTTCCGTGCCGGCTATGAACCTGGCCACTATCATTCGCACAATGAATGGGATGCCCGTTACTTAATGGAAAGTTCCACGGCCATTAAATGCCCCTCAATACATTACCATTTGGCGGGAACGAAAAAGGTGCAACAGGCGCTGGCCCAACCCGAAATGTTGGAAAGGTTTATAAGTGATCCAGAGGAAATCAAGGCAATTGGTAAAATATTTACGGGTCTCTATTCATTGGATGACAATGATGTGGGAAATAAAACCTTTGAAATGGCTCTCAAAGAACCGGAACGCTTTGTTCTGAAACCTCAGCGGGAGGGTGGTGGCAATAATGTTTATGGCTTGGATATACCGGATGCGTTGAGGGTAAGGGATTATTTTTTTAAGATATTTTTGAAAAAATATTTAATACCTGATTCTCTAATAGAAAATGTCTCGCGTTGAACGTTCCGCCTGGATTCTAATGGACTTGATTAAACCACCCATATCCAAGGGCTATATGGTCAGACCTGGCGGTACAATGCCTCCTCCCCTGGTTGAAGTCGTCTCGGAATTGGGTATTTTTGGTGTGGTCATTGGTGATGTGGATAATATCATCTGTAATTATCAAGCTGGCCATATGTTGCGCACCAAAGTTGCCACGGCCAATGAAGGTGGTGTTGCCGCTGGCCTCGGTGCCCTGGACAGTCCGTATTTGGTTGATTGATAATTCCATTTTATTACTTTCTATTTTTTGTTATATTTTTTATAAATAATCAATTATTTTTGTAAAATTCTTTTATAGTAAGAAGAAGAAAAATACGAAATATATATAATGCTCTAAGCCAAGAAGTTTGTTGGAGATGTTAGAAAGTTAGTGTTGTGGCAAGACTGAATAGCTAGTCTATTGTTGCTATCCAAGCCAAGTCTCCTTTATAGATTTTATATCATCTGAAATCCAATTTAATTTTAAGACGAAACTGCATAGCTATTCTATTGCTCCCCTAGCTCGGTCTGGATGTAAAGTTGCAGATACAATTAAGGTTTTTTCACTGGCCTAAGTCCTCGCTGTCTTCTTCGCGAAAAAACAAAGGAGTCTTAGGTTAACTTAGTTCAATTTTGGCTTATAATTTATACTGGTTCACCCTACAATCCTTTGTTCTTTTACGGAGAAGCCAGCCAATTTCTTAACACCTTAAAAACTTTCTATGTAATCTCACCTTTAAGGGAATCTGCACCTTAAAAGCTATATGCCTGAGTCTAAAGTATCGCTATATTTGAAAATACATTCACTTTTCTATCGAGGTCCACAGGTCCGAGGTAAACAGGTCCAAATGTTCCCAACGATAAAAAATCCACTTTCCCGTTGCTCTGCCACATCCAATGTTTGTATGCGAGACCTTATCATTCCCTCTATAACCTGAAGCTAAATCATAAAAAAATTAAAACAATAACTCAAAATATATTGAAACAAAAATATACAAAAAAACAAAATACACAAAATTTTGACATCACGGCACAACCTTCACAATAGACTCAGAGTTTCGAGCTTGTCACAATCGACGCTATTTATTGGCATCAGGGCAGGCCATTTGATATAGGAATTGAACAAGAGTTCTGGTTGGGCGCCCAGTCATGCGGTCTCTCAGCAGATAGGGTATGGTTCCATAATGCGTTAACATGCCCACACCACGTATGTCCAAGTGGGCCCAGTCAACGCAGGGTACAAATTCCTAAAAAGAAATAAGTAGAGCTTTTTAAATCGTACAGAAATTGGCATCACTTCTTCAACTTACATGTAAAATGGCAGCTGCCAAACAACTCGAGGCGGGGCCTTCACCATTATTGCTGATATCAAAGCTGATGTTATCTAGATAAAGATATTAAGAACACATTACTCAGCATCATATTAACTTTATTTCTTCATGTACTTACTGGTCACCAATTTCTTATAGTAATTCCACAAGGGCAAACGCCACATGCGATCACCGGTCAAGGAGCCAGCCTTTTGAAATTGTTTCCAAATGTAATGGGAATTTGAAAAGATACCAGTGGCACTACCGCCTAAACCCCTCACCACACCACTTCCCAATGTGGCCACATCGACTACCAAACGTGGCTTATATGTCGTTTGGGCATACAGCAGAGGATCTGCCATTACCACAACACCAGCCTTATCCGTATCCTGGGGAATTTTTTAATATTAGAATTTTAACAATTGACAGAAAAAAAATATAAATTGACAAAATTCTTACTCTAATGGCCAATGTTCGGCCATTCAATAGGGTAACTACATCTCCCGGCTTACAGGCCATTCCAGAGGGCATATTTTCACATAAAGGTATTACAGCGGAAATATTTATGGGCAAAGAGAGGGCAGCTGCCGCCCGTATTGCTGCCACACACACTGCTGCCCCAGCCATGGATCCACGATATTCATCCATGCCCTTGCAGGGACGTAGACAAATTCCGCCACTGAAAAATAAATTGAAATACATAATGAATAGGTTAGATTAGAGGATGTGTTGTTACATTTATCTTGCGTAAAAAAAGAATACAAGAAAGAAGGAATTAAAGGTATAAAAGGAGAGACGTAGAAAAAAATACTTATGCATCATTTATTTATTTCCAAAAAAGGCCTCTTGCTATTGTAAAATATCTCTACTCACCTATTAAATGTCATTCCTTTACCCAACAGTAAAATTGGTTTATCCTCTGGTGCCGTGCCACAATAACTAATCTCCAGCAATACAGGTGGTTCACACGAACCCTTGGCAATTGTCAGGAATGAATTTAAATGTTGTTGTTCTATCCATTCCATGGTACGTATTTCGACTGTGACACCGCAAGGACAAAGAGCATCTACGGTGGCCTGGGCAAATGTTGTCGGTGTCATTTGATTGGCGGGTGCATCACTTAAGCGTCTTGCCAAATTCTGTGATTCTGCCTTAAAAAGGCCCCGCGTCCAGGCATCAACATCTGGTGAGTCATACAGTTCTAATTTCGGCACCAGAGTGCGATTTTTCTTTTGCTTATTATCATTGTAACGCCATACGGCCAATGCACTACCTTCGGCTGCCTGTTCGGGATATTCCATGGAGTCGACAAATACCTCTGAGCAGCCTTGCATTTGCAGGCTTCGCGCACCAACACCGGCGGCAATGCGAGCATTTTCCTATTTGGGAAATAAGATTTTATTAAATAGCAATCACTTAGTTACAAATTGAAGAATTAAAAAAAATACTTTGTTTATTATTCATACGTTGTAATGCGAGAGTCTTTCAAACCAAATGTGCATTGTGTATTATCTTAGTTTGTATATAATACAAAATAAAATGAAAAATAGTTCACATTCTACAATAGTATTAAAAAAATAAATTAATAAATAAAAATTTAAACGAAAAATACGTTAAAATAGCCGACGAGCCGTCAATAAAGAAAAGAAAGGAAATGAAGCAAAATTCCACGTAAACTACTTTTTTTTCTCAGAGAGTAAGGAGTTTCATTCTCTTTTGTTTACTGTTTACTTTCTCTGAAAAGTAAACAGATGGAATCTTTGCAAAATCTTGTCAAAATAAAAGAATTTGCGCGCCATAAACAGAAATGAAGCATGCAGAAATTAAAAAAGAGCTCAAAAACAAAATTACGTTTGTTATTTTCAATAAAATGTTTTTAAATTGTTTGCCCAAATATAAATTAACATAAGGAGAAGAAGAGGTACAAATGATACCAAGAAGAAATTTGTCCAGCAAGAATTTGCAATCTGTCACTGAAAGAACTATCCAAAATTTTCTCTCAAATAGACTCCTTTGCAGAACTTTTTCCAAAGCCGCGAAAAAAACGTCGGAAACCCAAAAAGGTATTAGAAATTATAAATATGTACTCAAAATCCTATTCCAGAGTACATCTAGCGATGTCCGTCCGTCCATATGTCTGTCTGGCTGGCTGGTGCGAACGATAACTCTTGAAGGAAGTATCCGATTTGGTCCAGACTTCGTGCATCGTAATATTAATATCAAACTTAGATCGAGTTCGGATATGGGCAATATCGGCCCATTCCTTCCTTCAACATTTTCAAAAAAAAAAAAAAAAAATATATATATATATAATAAAAATACTACACAGAAAAAGAAAGGATAATACGATTTTGCTACAACTTGGCGAATCCCAATATTTGCTTCAGTGCTAGGTCATGTGCGAAAATTGACAAAATCGGTCCACTCAATCAAGTACCTCTCCCACAAAGTATCAAAATTTTAAATAATTATAACTCTTATAAAATGTTATGTAAGTGTCCGATTGTCTACAAATTACACACATCATAATATTTTAATTTACCTAAGGTCGGGTGTGAAGATGGAATATATCGGCCCACTCTTTCTGGTACCTCCCCCACAAAGGGTTTGAATATTCATGAAGCGCTTAAAACACGAAATTAACATCCGACTTCATTCTGACTTGGCACGTCTTAATATTTTTATCAACATAAAATTTGTTATGAAGATCCCCCACAAAGTGTCGAAGTTTTGAACAAACGAAATAATCACAAAATCCGAAATAAGCATCTAGTTCTTTTCAAATTACACACATCACAATATTTTTATTAACCCAAGGTCTGGTGTGAAGATGGTATTTATCTATCCACTCCTTCTGGTACCTCCCCCACAAAGGGTCAACATTTTGAATATCCATGAACCTATAAACAGCGAAATTAACATTCTATTCAGACTTGGCACATCTCAATATTTCTATTAACTCAGGATCTTTTATAAATATGGTAGGGATCGGACAATTGTTTCTTGTACCTCCTCCACGTAGTGTTCAAGATTTTTAAAAACAAACCGCTCAAAAAACCGAAATGAGCAAATTTCACATATTAAAACATTTTTGCCAACATAAGATCTGTTGTGAAGACGATATATATCTGCAAACCCTTTCTGTTACCTCACCCACAAAGGGTCGCAATTTGCAATGCTTTTATTTGTCTTAACTTGCAAAAGAAGCAATTCTTTACAACTTGCTATATCTCAACCAGAAACCTGGAATAGGAGCAAGCCGATGAAAAGGGCTTGAGGTCATGTATAGCGATAGTGGTATTGTTAAGGGGGAAGTTGACTTCAGGTATCCGGACTCAATGCCAGGTAAGTGATTTTGTTTATAATCGACAAAGGATATCGATAATGAAGCCCTCAATAATAAAGGTTTGACGGTGTTGGATGTCAACCCAGAGGGGAAATGTTGAAATCTCAACATGGCGAATATTCAAGGCTTAAGAAAAATAATTTATACGGCAATGGTCAAGAAAATAATAGTTCTGGACATTTGGGAAGGTAAATCATATGCCCATTTGCCTGCGTGCAACTTGTCCGAATTTGGTTAAAGGTCAGGAAGAATTCTACATAGAGTGTTGTGAATTGACGATTAAAAAGCGTGTTCAACTTGTGGAACATATATCTATTCATAATATTCTTTTGAAATATTTATCATCTTTTAAAATACCTTTTCTTTTCAAAATTTAGTAAAAAAATTGTTTTTTCTTTCAAAATTTGGTCAATGGATTTTTTTTCCAAATTTGGTCAATATATATTATTCAATATTTGGTCAAATAATTTTCTCTACTCTTTTCGTGTGTATACACTTACCATGCCTTCATCGATCATTTCCAATTCATTGAAACCGGCGCCTTCACGGCCCACGCCTATCACCGCTACCGAACGATATTCTTGGTCGATATTATTGAAAACCTTGCCCCGACCCAATTGGCCATTAATATTGCACCTAAAAGAAGGAAAATCAATCAATATAACTTCCATATCCCCTGTGGCAAAAATTCACTTACTCTTTAATAAGCTCCGAAATTTTCCCCTGGACACGATCATCAAATTTTTCACCACTGGTGGTTAATTTAGGGTCCTTGTCACCCTCTTTTTGATAGACTCCTATGACTAAGCCTTTCTTTAGAAATAGAAAACAAAAAATGTTTTAAAATGAAATGAAAATTGGGATGTGATTTCCTACTTACTGTTACTCTTGGATCGCTCGAGGCATAACAACGTATGGCTGTTGTCGTTTTATGAAATTTAGACGTCCATCTTAACAGGGGCCTTACTAACCATTTGCTTGAACGCAATGAAAATACCATTGTTGTAATAAAAGTATGTGTACAATATTTTTTTTATTTAACAAAATTTTTAATTTCTTGGAAAAAAGGAAAAATAATGTTTGTCACACTAAAAATAAATTGATTTTTTGTGGATAAATTTGTCGAAAATTTCAAGGCCTATTAGAATTATTCTGAAAAATATTTCAAACTAAATGGTGAAGTTGTTTGAAGGATTGTTTAAGGAAGTTTTATCCGAAATATGTAAATCAAAAGGAGTTTTGGAAATATAATGAAAACAAGTAAAGTAGTATCAGTCGGGTTTGCCGACAGATGTATACCCCCAGCCTTGAGTTATGATTATTCTAACTATTGACCCTTTATGGGGGAGGTTTCGAAGCAAAATGGGCAATATTGACCATTTTGTATCTGACCTGAAACTGATAAAAATATTACAACATGCCAGACTCTATCGACCACTTCCTAAAATTTATATGTGATATGTGCAAATTTTTTGAAAATGTTGAAATATGTGTGAGGTAAGAGATAAAGCGGACAGAAGTATTTCATTTTCATACCTCAACTAATACGGACAATAAATTAATAAATAATAAATTTCCATAAATTATATATTCAAATCAGATTTCTGGTTAAGAGACATGTTTAGATATAGCAAGTTGTAAAGATTCGCCGAATTTTTGCGGCAGTATTGAAAATTTTGTCTCTTTGTGGGTAGGTAACAGAAGGGGTTTGCAGATAATTATCAGATCTTGCGTTAGCAAAAAATATTTGAATGTTTGAAATTTGAACATTTCGATTTTTTGAGCGTTTGTTTTTCAAAATCCTATGTGGGAGAGGTACCCGAGGATCTCTACCATCTCTATAACATATCTTGCGTTGATCGAAATACTGAGATGTACCAAGTCTGAATGGAATTTGATATTAATTTCCCGTTTTATGAGCTTCATGGATACTCAAAATGTTGACCATTTGTGGGGGAGGTACCACAAGGAGTGGACCGATATATTCCATCTTCACATCACATTTTAAGTTAGTAGAAATAATAGTATGTGTGAAATTTGAAGAGAACCGGATGCTGATTTCGGATTTTATGCTTGTTTTAGTTATTCAAAACTTCGACCCTTGTGTGGGAGGTACCACAAGGAATGATCCGTTCTGTACCATATTTATAACAGATCTTGTGTTGATGGACATATTGCGATGTGCCAGGCGTGAATCGAATCGGATGTTAATTTATTTTACCCTTTGTGGGGGAGGTATCAGATGGAGTGGACCGATATATCCCATGTTCACACCAGACCTTGGGTTAATAAAAATATAATGATCTGTGGAATTTGAAGACAAGCGGATAATAACATCACCTTTTAAGAGTTATAGATATTCAAAGTTTTGACCTTTTTGTGGGATAGGTAGTTCGCACCTGACCTAGCACTGATGCAAATATAAGGATTCGCAAAATTGGAACAAAATCGGATCATCCTTCCTCTTTCTGTGCAATAAAATATTTTCTTTGAAAATTTCGACATTTTGTGGATGAGGTACCAGAAGAGGTGCACCGATATTACCCATCTCCGAACTCGATCTAAATTTGACAAAAATATTACGATGTACCAAGTTTGGACCACATCGGATACTCCCTTTGAGACTTATCGTGCTCACCATCAAGCCAGACAAATAGACAGATGGACGGACGGACATCGCTAGATCGACTCCAAATGTTCAGAAACGGATTTGGTATAAAGAGACCTAGTGTCTGAAACTGTTATTTCTATGAGGCACGTTTTGGCGTCATCAAATGATATATACCCTCTGTAGCCATATGGCTGAAGTTATAAAAATGTTAGTAATCCTTTGAATTCTTCGTGACTGTGAAGTTTATAATATGAAGCCCTCTGGGATTTACTCTGATCACCTTCCTATGATCCACCAGACTGTGAACATGATTCCTACATGTTAGGTATCCTTAAATACACCTCATAATTTATTTAAATTTTAATTGAGACGATTACTTCTCTGTTCCGGAAGTAAACGTGTTCCGCTCTTTTGTAGACATGATTTTCCGCTTATCCAGTATACTATAAAATTTCTTACAATGGAATCATCTAAATCAAACCTCCCTTATTCACCGCAACAAAATAATAAATACCAAAAGTAAATTTTTGTTCAAAAATGTCTTATCTTCTTTTCAAATAAATATTTGTACTTTTTATTTAAATTGCATTTTTCAAAAGTACTAAATTTAACAAAACTATACAGTGTATTTACTAAATTATTTAGTAATATTGTACTAATTATCATTAATATTGCTTATTGTACGTTTTTCTCTTCCAGCTCCATTCAGTTTGGCACCATCTCGTTAGGATTGAGAACACAAAACTGTGTTCTATTTTCTTTTAGCTTCGATATTGTTTTTTTATAATTAGATGACATGGTTGTGAATTGTTTTAGTTATCACTACGTTGCTCTTTTGACAAATTTTCTATAGGTATTGTCCATCAAATAGTCCACACTGTGATCAATTGGTGGTATAATGAAGGGTATTGACGTCAAGCCGAAAGCTGTTGGTAAATATTTGGCTATGGCCTTTTTAACATTAGCCTGCCTTAGTAGACGACCACTGAGGTAGGTGATTCTGGAAAGGAATAAGAGAAAATTTTATTTTGTGAATATTTTCAACGGAACAGGAAATCTAAAGGAATGGCAATAGCACTTTTTTTAAACAAAACTGAGATTTTTTTATACCCTCAGTCATATGGGTAGATAGGGTATGTATCATTTGATACGGCCAAAACGTGCTTCATCGAAATAATAATTTTAGACCATAGGTCTTTTTGGGCCGTCCGTCCGCCCGTCTGGTGCGCATGATAACTCTCGAAGAGCATATCTGTTTTTATTCAAACTTGATACATCGTAATATTATTTCCGAACCAAAGAGACCTAGGGTCTAAAACCGTTATTTCGATGATGTACGTTTTGGCCGTATCAAATGATATATACCCTCTCTAGTCATATGGCTGAGGGTATAAACATAGTCAGTTTTTCAATGGCTAATAATCCAGTACAATCAAGCATTACATTCCACTTGTTAACAAAAACATTGCAACTGCAAATTAGCATCAAAGTGTCAGAATATTTCCATAAATAACCACAAAAAACACTCTGTTAATAGAGCTTTGTGGTTTCCCTCCACACGTATTCACCCACCTATTTATAGTAAAACCGGGTATTACAACCGAAGCCAATATTTGCCAAATGAAAACATCAGTTGCAGTTATGGCAACATTTTTAACCGAGGAACCCTGTTTGTAGTCTTTGTAGGATTTATCAATGGTATCGGCACAAACATAACCCGTAGATACCACATAACTGGCTGTCACCACCTTAGAAGGCACCAAACGGCGGAATGCTTCACCAACTTCATTGCAATAACCTGTAAGCGAACATACAGGTGTTAATTATCAAACGAAGCAAATACTATATTTCCACAAGAACTTACCCAAATAACGCACCCATGTTTCACGATATAAATCTTTCTCTTTTTCCATTGCAAATTGTTTTTTTTTTTTAACTTTTATCAATTGCTATTTTTGTCTATTATGTAATTTTTTAAAGTAATCAATGTAGAAACTTGGTTTCAGCCAATTGTTTACTGTTCTCTCTCTTTGTTTGGGTGAATTTATGCACTCTCTGCACTTCCGTTTCCGTTGCAACGATATTTTTTCGTTGCACTTGAACAACCAAAATTGGTAATAGACCGTTACGCGTTATTTACAATTACAATGTGTTGGTGTTTGTTTTTGTTGTTAATTTTATACTGCTCTACACATGCTTGCTATGTTTGGCGTTCCCCTCATACACTGAGATTTTCAAAAAAATAAACCCACCTTGCCAAGAAATTGTCAGCTGTTTATCAATAATCGATAAACGTAAACATCGATTGTAGCTATCAGAGAGAAAATGTACACTGAGCAATAATTACTATTGCTTGGCATTGAGAAATGAAAGTTAAGTTAAAAAAATGAAATTTACAACAGCTTATTATTAGATTTATTGAAATCACAGTACAAAAGACACATCTACCTATATTCTTCTACGATGACATGGTAGATGAATATAGGTATACGCTTCGACACAGTTGCTGGGACAATGAACTGTCAAACCAAGTTTGGAATCGAAAATTTGTAAAAATTTTTAAAAAAATGAATATTATAACAACCTCCGATTGGCGTCGTGTAAGAAAATATATACAAATATACTTATTTTTGAAGAATTTTATGCATATTTATGCATCTACCTGCATTCTTCTACCATGTACCATGATTAGCGGTCTGTTCCAGAACCTGCAAGCATATACTAGTTTTGCAATTTTCTCTGATATCATAATGGAAAATCGGTTATCGTAGTAAAAACTTTTACATTCTTGCAGTTATGGAACAGACCATAGGTGTGTACGACACTTACTTGGCGACTAACTCTCAAAAATGCTCTCTTCACTCTCATTTACATGATTTATGTGTCATCGAATATCGAATAACATTTGGTATCGAACAAAAAAAAAATAATAATAATCGAAGGTGCATTTCGGAATAAAAAACGAAAAAGTCTATCCCACTTGGAACACCATGGAAAAATAAAAATGTGTTTATTTTGTGAATAATTTGTTAAGGAAAAATCCCCAACCACCATGGCCGATGTAAAACTTCAACTGTGTCGTTTGTGCCTGAACGCTAGCAGTGCAGGACATTTGGAAAATCTCTGTGACGACTATGGACAACACAATGAAAAGTATTCAATTACCGTGGAATATTTCGATTCCAAAATATTTGATGTGGAACATCATTTGAAGATGTTATGTATGACATGTTGGCAACATATCGAAGAGTTCCATAGCTTTCAAACCACTGTACTGGAATCTCGTACCAAATTAGAAAGACTGCAATGGCATGAGGAGGATACTCATCTCTACAATCCTGGAATAGTAAAGGTGGAATCTGAAGACATGTACTATGAATCTGTTGTGGAAGAGGAGCAAGCCGATGAAAAGAGCCATGAGGGTATGCATTGCGGTGGTGGTATTGTTAAGGAGGAAGTTGACTATAGCTATCCAGATACTATGACAGGTGAGTGTGAATGTAAATAGTTGGACAAAGGATGTTTTTTTATTAAATTAATCTGTTTTTTAGACAACGAAATCCTCAATGGTAAAGGCTTCACGGTGATGAATGTCAACCCAGATGAGAAAATGCTTAAATCTCAACATGGAGAATATCCTATGCCTAAGAAAAATAATTTACACGGCAATGAACAGGAAAATAATAGTTCTTTGGACATTTCGGAAGGTAAATCACATGCCCATTTGTCTGCATGCAAATCATCCGATTTGGGTTTATCGAAACCTAAACGTCGAAAACAAAGTGTTGATAAGGACATACAAGAAAATACCACAGATCCAAGGATCGATGATGTGGATTTGACGGCCTTTGTTAAAGTACCCCAGGCACGTCCCTTGAAAAGTAAACGCGAAGAAGAGCTGGACAATATAATTGCCCAATGGAAGTCTAATTTAGAATGTAGACATTGCCGAAAAACCTTTGACACATATACCCTCCTACGTGAGCATTTCAGAGAACGACATCGTCAGGAAGAATTTTACATAGAGTGCTGCGAGTTGAAGATTAAAAAGCGTGGTCACCTTGTGGAACACATACGTATGCACATTGATTACAAAGCCTTTAAATGTACAATATGCGCCAGACGCTTCAATCGGAAACGTAATTTACAAGCTCACATGCAAAGAATGCATAACATAAATAATTTGGAAAGCATTCCGGTTTGTGATAATGCCGAGACATTATCGGTGACCAATTATGCCGAGATTGAGGACAATGATGAATTTATATCACAATATTTACCCAACATTGAATGTGTAATATGCAAGGATATTTTCCCCACATTTACCCTCTTGGAAGAACACTTTAAGCAACAACATTCCCCGGAAGAGTGTCACATACTGTGTTGTGGTTTTAGGCTGCAACAACAATCCACCATTGTAAATCATTTACGGGTCCACACCCACCCACGGAAATACAAATGTGAATTGTGTAATGCTTGTTTTACCATGCCCCATACCTTGGACTATCACAGGCGTATGGAACACAATGCAAACAACAATGGTGGCATAATATACCAAGACTCTATGTCCATGGAAGATAATTCCTATTTGGAAATCAATACCGATAAATTTACGCAGCAAGAAAGTGACGATTTCATTGGCCAGTGGTTGACCACCCTAGAATGTGAGCTGTGTAAGGAAACATTTCCCAATTTTACGCTGTTACATGATCACTTTGGGGATGTGCATCCCACTGAAAAAGTCTTTGTACGCTGTTGTGACAAACAGTTCTTTACCCGCTCCAAAATACAACGACACATTGAAGTACATTTGTGTAACAAGGCCTTCAAATGTGAGCTGTGTGGCAAACGTTATTCGAAGAAGGCGACAATACAAAATCATATGCTAAAACAGCATTATGGTAGCATTCCTAAGGCAGATTCCAAAAAAACCGCTATTGAAAAAGCAGCAGCCGCAGCAGCACCAAATAAAAGGAAATCAATCAAAGAACTCGATGAAATTATTGCCAAGTGGCGGCCAACACTGGAATGTTTACAGTGTCACGAGTCGTGTTCAACGTTTACTCTGCTACAAACGCATTTTCGTCAGCGGCATCCCGCCCAGGTGTGTTACATATTATGTTGTGAGTGTAAATTTGTTGGTCGTCATGATCTTGAGGAACACATACGCTACCACAATGATCCCGATGTCTTTAAGTGCTCGTACTGTGATCGTCGTTTTGCCCGGAAACGTGATTCAATGCGTCACATGAAAACATGTAATGGCAGCAGCAGTAGCGGTGGTGAACGGCAAGGGGATTGTAAAATTGAAAAGGGTGTCTAGTTTTTAATTTAACATGAAAAGTACTTGTGAAAAAGTATATTTTGTATATAATAAAAAAAATTAAATGTATTTATAATTTGTCTTTTATTAGCAGGTGCTTAAATGTTTATGGTCTATGTTGTTCTTTAAAAAAAATTGTAAAAATTACTCTGCTCATATTATATTCTAACATCCACAATGGCTCCATAAAAATTGTTCTAAAAAATCTTTCAAAAATACTAAAAAAATCCACTACTGGTCCTTGAAAAAATATTTGTATTCAAGTCATGAAAAAACACAAGATTTGGTCCATAAAAAAGTATTTTAAAAAATAATGTTTGGTCCTTCAAAAAAAAAAAAAATAATAATAATAATAAAAATTCGGCTTTCGTTCTCGGGGAAACAATTTAACAAAAATCACTTTGAACTTTAAAAACCCACTTCTGGTCCTTGAAGAAATAATTTTAAACATCCACATTTAATCAGAACATATTATTAAGGAATTCCCATTTGCTCACACAGCGACAAATTCCCATTTTTTTTCAATAATTACGGCGGAAATTCAGCAGATTTTGAAAGTAGGGCTCAAAGTTTACATCCCAAAGCAACCTAAAAAGAGTGCCAAGTTTCCCCCTCTTCCACACTTTTGGAAACTTTCGGATTAAGATTCCTCTGAATTCATAATTCATTCAGGTATATAGTTTCTTCGGCAATATTGCGGATAAAAATACGAGGAATATTTTGACCATTACGCGAGTCAACAAATTCGACTTTTTGGACCTTTTTTATATAACCTCGACCATATGGCTAGAGAGGGTATATATCTTTTGATACGGCCTAAACGACCCTCATCGAAATAATAGTTTAAGACCCTAGGTCTGTTTGGGCCAAATCCGTTTCAAGATATTTGGAGTCGATCTAACGATGTCCGTCCGTCCGTCTGTCTGCCTGCTGGGCACGATAACTTTCGAAGGGAGTATCCGATTTGATTCAAACTTGGTACATCGTAATATTATTGTCAAACTTAGATCGAGTTCGGATATGGGCAATATCGGTCCACTCCTTCTGGTACCTCCCACACAAAATGTCAAAATTTTCAAAGAAAATCATTTACTGCACGGAAAGAGAAAGGATAATCCGATTTTGAAAAATCCCCAACCACCATGGCCGATGTAAAACTTCAACTGTGTCGTTTGTGCCTGAACGCTAGCAGTGCAGGACATTTGGAAAATCTCTGTGACGACTATGGACAACACAATGAAAAGTATTCAATTACCGTGGAATATTTCGATTCCAAAATATTTGATGTGGAACATCATTTGAAGATGTTATGTATGACATGTTGGCAACATATCGAAGAGTTCCATAGCTTTCAAACCACTGTACTGGAATCTCGTACCAAATTAGAAAGACTGCAATGGCATGAGGAGGATACTCATCTCTACAATCCTGGAATAGTAAAGGTGGAATCTGAAGACATGTACTATGAATCTGTTGTGGAAGAGGAGCAAGCCGATGAAAAGAGCCATGAGGGTATGCATTGCGGTGGTGGTATTGTTAAGGAGGAAGTTGACTATAGCTATCCAGATACTATGACAGGTGAGTGTGAATGTAAATAGTTGGACAAAGGATGTTTTTTTATTAAATTAATCTGTTTTTTAGACAACGAAATCCTCAATGGTAAAGGCTTCACGGTGATGAATGTCAACCCAGATGAGAAAATGCTTAAATCTCAACATGGAGAATATCCTATGCCTAAGAAAAATAATTTACACGGCAATGAACAGGAAAATAATAGTTCTTTGGACATTTCGGAAGGTAAATCACATGCCCATTTGTCTGCATGCAAATCATCCGATTTGGGTTTATCGAAACCTAAACGTCGAAAACAAAGTGTTGATAAGGACATACAAGAAAATACCACAGATCCAAGGATCGATGATGTGGATTTGACGGCCTTTGTTAAAGTACCCCAGGCACGTCCCTTGAAAAGTAAACGCGAAGAAGAGCTGGACAATATAATTGCCCAATGGAAGTCTAATTTAGAATGTAGACATTGCCGAAAAACCTTTGACACATATACCCTCCTACGTGAGCATTTCAGAGAACGACATCGTCAGGAAGAATTTTACATAGAGTGCTGCGAGTTGAAGATTAAAAAGCGTGGTCACCTTGTGGAACACATACGTATGCACATTGATTACAAAGCCTTTAAATGTACAATATGCGCCAGACGCTTCAATCGGAAACGTAATTTACAAGCTCACATGCAAAGAATGCATAACATAAATAATTTGGAAAGCATTCCGGTTTGTGATAATGCCGAGACATTATCGGTGACCAATTATGCCGAGATTGAGGACAATGATGAATTTATATCACAATATTTACCCAACATTGAATGTGTAATATGCAAGGATATTTTCCCCACATTTACCCTCTTGGAAGAACACTTTAAGCAACAACATTCCCCGGAAGAGTGTCACATACTGTGTTGTGGTTTTAGGCTGCAACAACAATCCACCATTGTAAATCATTTACGGGTCCACACCCACCCACGGAAATACAAATGTGAATTGTGTAATGCTTGTTTTACCATGCCCCATACCTTGGACTATCACAGGCGTATGGAACACAATGCAAACAACAATGGTGGCATAATATACCAAGACTCTATGTCCATGGAAGATAATTCCTATTTGGAAATCAATACCGATAAATTTACGCAGCAAGAAAGTGACGATTTCATTGGCCAGTGGTTGACCACCCTAGAATGTGAGCTGTGTAAGGAAACATTTCCCAATTTTACGCTGTTACATGATCACTTTGGGGATGTGCATCCCACTGAAAAAGTCTTTGTACGCTGTTGTGACAAACAGTTCTTTACCCGCTCCAAAATACAACGACACATTGAAGTACATTTGTGTAACAAGGCCTTCAAATGTGAGCTGTGTGGCAAACGTTATTCGAAGAAGGCGACAATACAAAATCATATGCTAAAACAGCATTATGGTAGCATTCCTAAGGCAGATTCCAAAAAAACCGCTATTGAAAAAGCAGCAGCCGCAGCAGCACCAAATAAAAGGAAATCAATCAAAGAACTCGATGAAATTATTGCCAAGTGGCGGCCAACACTGGAATGTTTACAGTGTCACGAGTCGTGTTCAACGTTTACTCTGCTACAAACGCATTTTCGTCAGCGGCATCCCGCCCAGGTGTGTTACATATTATGTTGTGAGTGTAAATTTGTTGGTCGTCATGATCTTGAGGAACACATACGCTACCACAATGATCCCGATGTCTTTAAGTGCTCGTACTGTGATCGTCGTTTTGCCCGGAAACGTGATTCAATGCGTCACATGAAAACATGTAATGGCAGCAGCAGTAGCGGTGGTGAACGGCAAGGGGATTGTAAAATTGAAAAGGGTGTCTAGTTTTTAATTTAACATGAAAAGTACTTGTGAAAAAGTATATTTTGTATATAATAAAAAAAATTAAATGTATTTATAATTTGTCTTTTATTAGCAGGTGCTTAAATGTTTATGGTCTATGTTGTTCTTTAAAAAAAATTGTAAAAATTACTCTGCTCATATTATATTCTAACATCCACAATGGCTCCATAAAAATTGTTCTAAAAAATCTTTCAAAAATACTAAAAAAATCCACTACTGGTCCTTGAAAAAATATTTGTATTCAAGTCATGAAAAAACACAAGATTTGGTCCATAAAAAAGTATTTTAAAAAATAATGTTTGGTCCTTCAAAAAAAAAAAAAATAATAATAATAATAAAAATTCGGCTTTCGTTCTCGGGGAAACAATTTAACAAAAATCACTTTGAACTTTAAAAACCCACTTCTGGTCCTTGAAGAAATAATTTTAAACATCCACATTTAATCAGAACATATTATTAAGGAATTCCCATTTGCTCACACAGCGACAAATTCCCATTTTTTTTCAATAATTACGGCGGAAATTCAGCAGATTTTGAAAGTAGGGCTCAAAGTTTACATCCCAAAGCAACCTAAAAAGAGTGCCAAGTTTCCCCCTCTTCCACACTTTTGGAAACTTTCGGATTAAGATTCCTCTGAATTCATAATTCATTCAGGTATATAGTTTCTTCGGCAATATTGCGGATAAAAATACGAGGAATATTTTGACCCTTACGCGAGTCAACAAATTCGACTTTTTGGACCTTTTTTATATAACCTCGACCATATGGCTAGAGAGGGTATATATCTTTTGATACGGCCTAAACGACCCTCATCGAAATAATAGTTTAAGACCCTAGGTCTGTTTGGGCCAAATCCGTTTCAAGATATTTGGAGTCGATCTAACGATGTCCGTCCGTCCGTCTGTCTGCCTGCTGGGCACGATAACTTTCGAAGGGAGTATCCGATTTGATTCAAACTTGGTACATCGTAATATTATTGTCAAACTTAGATCGAGTTCGGATATGGGCAATATCGGTCCACTCCTTCTGGTACCTCCCACACAAAATGTCAAAATTTTCAAAGAAAATCATTTACTGCACGGAAAGAGAAAGGATAATCCGATTTTGTTTCAACTTTGCGAGTCCTAATATTTGAATCAGTACTAAGTCAGGTGCGAAAATGGACAATATCGGTCCAATCCATCCAGTACCTTACTCACAAAGGGTCAAAAATTTGAATAATTATAACTCTTATAAAATGTGATGTAAGGGTCCGATTGTCTTCAAATTACAACCATCACAAAATTTGTATTAACCCAAGGTCTAGTGTGAAGGTGAAATATATCCGTCCACTCCTTCTGGTACCTCCCACGCCAAGGGTCAACGTTTTGAATATTCATGAAGCTCATAAAACACGAAATTAGCACCCGATTTCTTTCAGATTTGATACATCTCGATATTTCCATCAGCACAGGATCTGGAATAAAGATAGTAGAGCTCGGACTATTCCTTCTGGTACCCCCCCACAAAGGTCCGAAGTTTTTTTTTATAACCAAAAGGACCATAAAATCCGAAATAAGCATCTGGTTCTCTCCAAATTATACACATCACAATATTTTTATTAACCTAATGTCTGGTGTGAAAATTGGATATATCGATCCACTCCTTCTGGATCGATTGACCCACAAAGGGTCAAAAGTTTGAATAATTATAATTCTTATAAAACGTGATGTTAGTGTCCGATTGTCTTCAAATTACACACATCAGAATATTTTTGTTAATTCATGGTCTGGTGTTAAGATGGAATATATCGGACCATTCCTTATGGTACCTCCCCCACAAAAGGTCAAAATTTTGAGTGTCCATGAAGCTTATAAAACAAGAAATTAACATTCGATACCATTCACACTTGGCACATCTTAATATTTCAATCAACACAAGATCTGCTATAAAGATGATAGAGCTCGGACTATTCCTTCCCGTACCTCCCACACAAAGGGTCAAAGTTTCGAATAACAAAAACAGTGATAAAATCCGAAATAAACATCCGGTTCTCTTCAAATTACACACAACACAATATTTTTATTAACCCAAGGTCTAATGCGAAGATGGAATATATCTGTACACTCCTTCTGGTACCTCCCCCACAAAGGGTAAAAGTTTTGAATAACCAAAACGTTTATATAATTCGAAATAAGCACCTGGTTCTCTTTAAATTACACACATCACAATATTTTTATTAACACAAGATCTGTTAAAAAGACCTTACCCACAAGGGTCAACATTTTGAATAATTTTAACTCTTATAAAATGTGATGTAAGTGTCCTATTGTCTTCAAATTACAACCATCACAAAATTTTTATTAACCCAAGGTCTGGTGTGAAGGTGAAATATATCCGTTTACTCCTTCTGGTACCTCCCCCACAAAGGGTCAAAATTTTGAATATCCATGATGCTCATAAAACACGAAATTAACATCCGATTGCTTTCAGACTTGGCTTATCTCAATATTTCCATAATTATAAAGGTGGTAAAGAGATCGGAGCATTTCTTCTGGTACCTCAACCACATAGGGTCCAAGATTTTGAAAAACCAAACGCTCAACGAAACCGAAATAAGTATCCAACTCTCTTCAAATTTCACACATCCAACGCGATCTGTTATGAACATGATTTATATCTGCGAACCCCTGGATGTACCTCACCTTCAAAGAGTCACAATTTCCAATACTTTTATTTGTCATATCTATACCTACATTTTCACTTAACCAGAAATCCGATATGAATGTGTAATTTATTGAAATTTATGATTTCGCATAAAATTGGATATAAAATTTCGAATTCCTTCAAATTTTGCTCGTACCAATATTTTTATTTGTATTAGATGAAGTATAAAAATGGAATGCTTCACGCATATTTCCACATTTTCCAGAAAATTGTACATATCTCATATAAAGTATAGTAAGTAGTCGATATAGTCCAAATCAGATCAGATCAGATCAGTCAGATACGAATTGATTAATATTGGCCAACTGCTTCGGAACCTCCCCCATAAAGGGTTAACAGTTTGAATTATCATAACTTAAGGCTGGGGGTATACATCTGTAGGAAAAACTGACTGATGTTTGTTTGTTTCTTCAACGTTTAACGTTTGGCTTAAACAAAGTTCAGTCCTTTGAAAAAAAAAAATTTCAAAAAAAAAAAAACCATTTGTAGTTCTTTTCAAAATATTCTTAAAAAACCCACTTTTGAAGCTGAAAAAAATATTTTTAAAAAATCCACCGTTTCGTTCATCCGTTTTCACAAAAAATTGACGTTTGGTCCTTTGAAAAAATATAGATCAAAAATCAAAGTTAAACTCGACTTTTCGTCCTTTGAAATAAATGAAAAAAAGTACTTTGGTACCTTTCGTCCTTTTAAAATTATTTTAAAAAACATTCTATTTAAAATAAAATCCACATTCGGCCCTTGAAAAATGTTATTATCATTTCCAGGCTTGGTTCCTAAAAACATGTTCTTAAAAATCCCTTCTGAAAAATATTCCCAAAACTTTTCGCTTGCTCCTGGAAATTCAAAGAAATTCTTGAAAATTCAAATGCTTGTTTTATTTATTCAACTTTGCTTAAATATAACCTTAAAACTATACTTATTTAAAGTACAAAGGATAACAAAAATAAAAAAGAAAAACAATTCACTTTTAGAAAATTTGTTTAACACTTTTTCTTCAACGTTCAACGTTTCGGCTTAACCAAAGTTGGCAATGAAAATTCTTTTGGAGAACATTCTATTAAGAGCGATTAAATTACCGGATCCAGATTTTTGCTTTAATTTCGATGAGTTCGCATGTGCAATATCAGACCACGATTGCGATTAAAACAACGCCCACACTGGGTGCATTTAAATGCATTTGGATCTCTGTGATATTTGATGTGTTCGACAATATCATAACGGCCAGCAAATTTACAGCCACAACAGGAGATATAACATTGTTCTGCGGGATGTGTGTCACGATAGTGCCTACTGAGTAATGTAAAAGTTGTATAGGTTTTATGACACACCCGGCACTCTAGTTTAGGTTTCCATTGGGCTATGGTACGATCAAGATCTTTAAGGGATTTTCTTTTCGTTAAGATCTTTTGAGTTTCTGTCCCAGGGCTGGGCTGATCTTCACAATAACTGGTCACAGATGAAATTGTGCCATAATGTTGCTTGGCCATATGGAATTCTAAGCGTTCATTTCTGGTATAACGTTTGCCACACAACTGACACTTAAATGCTTTGCTGTTTATATGGCCGTCAATGTGCCTTTGCAGTTTGGAGCGAGTAAAAAATCGATGATCGCAACATGTCACATAACTTTGTTGTTCAACGTGATGCATATCGAAATGTTCACTCAGCGAAGAATAGCTCTTGAATTCCTCCTTGCAAACATGACACTCCAAACTGGGTAACCATCGTGATATAAAATCATCACTTTCCTTTATGGTTAACACTTCCGCATGAGCATCCTCCACATTGTCCGCAGTGTTGTCATTTGAAGAGTCTTTGGAATTCTTTTTATGATCCACCCGCATGTGATATTCCATGACATGCTGCATCGTAAAACAGGCATTACAAAATTTACACTTATGTTTCCTTGGATGAGTGTGCCGATTTAAATGATCTACTAACAGGGATTGTGTTGTCAGCCTATAGCCACAACATAAAATGTGAAATTCCTCATCCTTATGCCGCTTCCGATAATGTCTTTCCAATTTGCTAAAAACGGGAAATATCTGCCTGCAACGAGGGCACTCCAAATTGGGTAGAAATTGTTCTATGAATCTATCGTTATTCCTAATTATTTGCGTGGATAATTTAATCTGTGATGATTCCGGATTTAGGCCTCTTTCCGGAACTATTTCCTTAGCACTAATATTGTGTATTTTTCTCATATGATAGACGAGATTACGTTTGCGATGACAACGTATCTTACAGTGGGCACACTTGAAGGCTTTCTTATCGGTGTGTATCCTTATGTGTTCGGCCAGATGTCCACGTTTTTTAATCTTCAGACCACAACATTGAACATAGAATTCATGTCTATGCTGATGGCGATCCTTGAAATGTTCATGCAGCAGGGTGTAGGTGGCAAATGGTTTTTCACATACCATACAATCCAGTTCGGGTTTCCATTGGGCTATAATGTTGTCCAGCTCCTCTTCGCGGGTACTTTTTATCGGCCGCATCAGGGCCGTAGAATTTAATGGATTAGAAGTGTTTATTTCCAATTCATGATTTTGTTTGCGATGACGTCCATTTGTTTTGCTTTTCATTTTTTTGAAATTTAACTTGGTTCGTTTTGGAGGGCTATCAATTTCAAAATCCAAATCATTTAAATCATCATCAGTTTCGAAGGGATCATTTTCTTCGCTGGGTTCTTTGGTTGTCCGCTCCTCATTGATTTGTTGTACCTTATTTTTTCTTCCAAAAGTCTGCTTCATGGAATTAATTTCCTTTAATTTCCAAGTTTCCGTTTTAATTCTGTGAGATTTTCTAATGGGGGAAATATCATTATCCTGCAAAAAAAGAAAGACATACATATTTTAATAAAAAATTAAAATATTATGGAGTTGTCCTTAAAAAAAATAAAAAAGAGAGTAGAGATGGGACAAAAACGGGTATGACATAGGATTATATTGAAGTAAAACGTATTGGAACTTTAAAGCGATTTAAATTTGAACCCATTTAAGTTTGAAATCTATGTTCAATAATTGGAAAATATTCTTTAAATATCCCCGCTTATCGATGGGTTTTTTTATGTTCCTAATAGATTTGAAACAAATTAATTAAATTTTATACCCTCACATCCGTTTCAGAACATTTGGAGTCGATCTATCTAGAGTCTGTGTGAAAATGGACAATAACGGTCCACTGCATCAAGTTCCTCCCCCACAAAGACCATCTGACCAATAAATGTAGAGTTCTTAAACGTTTTTTTAAGGTCATTATGGCCATTAAACCTGCATTTTTAAAGATTTTTCTCCAAAGACCGTCAGACCAATAAACGTGGATTTTTTAAAGAATTTTTTCCAAAGACCACCTGACCAATAAACGTGGATTTTTTAAGAATTTTTTCCAAAGACCATCTGACTTTATTGGTCAGAATTGGTCAGTGAATTTTTTAATAAATTTTTGTCGAAGACCATTTGACCAATAAACGTGGATTTTTTTAAGATTTTTTTCCAAAGATCATCTGACCAATAAACGTGGATTTTTTAAAGAATTTTTTCCAAAGACCACCTGACCAATAAACGTGGATTTTTTTTTAAGATTTTTTTCAAAGATCATCTGACCAATAAACTTGGATTTTTTAAGAATTGTTTCTAAAGACCAATAAACGTGGATTTTTTAAGAATTTTTTCCAAAGACCATCTGAGCAATAAACGTGGATTTTTTAAGAATTGTTTCTAAAGACCAATAAACGTGGATTTTTTAAGAATTTTTTCCAAAGACCATCTGAGCAATAAACGTGGATTTTTTTTTTAATTTTTCCAAAGAACATCTGACCAATAAACTTGGATTTTTTTAAGAATTTTTTCCAAAGACCATCTGACCAATAAACGTGGATTTTTTTAAGATTTTTTTCCAAAGACCATCTGACCAATAAACTTGGATTTTTTTAAGAATTTTTTCCAAAGACCATCTGACCAATAAACGTGGATTTTTTTAAGAATTTTTTCCAAAGACCATCTGACCAATAAACGTGGATTTTTTTAAGAATTTTTTCCAAAGACCATCTGACCAATAAACGTGGATTTTTTTAAGAATTTTTTCCAAAGACCATCTGACCAATAAACGTGGTTTTTTTTAAGAATTTTTTCCAAAGACCATCTGACCAATAAACGTGGATTTTTTTAAGAATTTTTTCCAAAGACCATCTGACCAATAAACGTGGATTTTTTTAAGAATTTTTTTCAAATACCATCTGAACACTAAACGTGGATTTTTTTAAGAATTTTTTTTCCAAATACCATCTGAACACTAAACGTGGATTTTTTTAAGAATTTTTTTTTCCAAAGACCATCTGACCAATAAACGTGGATTATTAAAAGAATTTGTTTGTTATGAATTTTAACTCTAAAATTTGTAAGAATATTCATGAAGCTTATGAAACAAGAAATTAACATCCGATCCCATTCCGACTTGGCACATCTCAATATTTCTATCAACACAAGATCTGTTATAAAATTGGTAGAGATCGGACCACTTCTTCTGCACCTCCCCCACAAAGGGTTAACATTTTTAATAACAAACGATCATAAAATCCAAAATAAGCACCCGGTTCTCTTCATATTTCACACATCACAATATTTTTATTAACCCAAGGAAAATGGGATATATAGTTCCACTTCTTCTAGTACTTCCCCAACAAGGGGGGCGCGAAATAAGCATCCATCTGTGTTCAAATGAAGTCGGCGATTCTTTACAACTTGTTATATCTAAGTATTTCCCTCAGACAGAAATCTGATATGAATATCTAATTAATCGGAATATATGATTTCGTAAACAATACATACCGGTATTTCGGTTTTTAGTTTCGGTATATTCTCCTTAATTCGGTTAGCAGATGTAGTTTCAATTTTGATTCTAGGAAAACTTCTTACGGCTACTTTAGATGTGCTCTCCATGTCTACGTTACTTCTGGCTGTATTTTTCTGGTTATGTTGCAACTCGCGTTTTGTTTCATCAATTTTTGGGTTCTTTAGATGATCTTTAGCAACCATTTTAAATTCAGTTAATACATTATTATCCCTTTGTTTAATACTTGTACCCACTATTTTGGGTAATCTCACAATGGGAATTTTTTTGTGGTGTGAGTGGTGATGAGTTTTGGAAAAGATTGGTTTACTTTCTATTCTTTTTGGTTTGACATCAATATCGAAATCCCGAATATGCATACTATTCATCCTTTCAGAATATTCTTTATTGTGATTGGAAATCGTAGAATGAAATAGCTCGGCTTTATTTGTGATTTGTGAAGAGGCAAGTTTTCTCTTTCGTTCTACGGTCGTAGAATACATTTCCTTTAATTTCCAACTTTCGAATTTAATTCTTTGTGATTTTCTAATGGAACCAATTTTATCTCCCTGAATACTTTGGATATGGAAAAGTTTATCATTTGCCTGCTTTGATTTGTTATTGATATCAAGTTCCACAATTTGTATATTATTTTGTATTGCATCCGAAGATACACTACAACCGATTTTATCTTCCTGAATACTTTGGGTAAGAATTAATTTATCATTCGTTTGCTTTGATTGGTTATTGATATCAAGATCAACAATTCGCACATCATTTTGTATTGTAGCCGGAGATGCATGTTTCTCATGTTGTCCGTTCGTTACAGTACGGACAAGCTTTGTCTTATTTCTTACATCAGCGGAGGAGTCGAGTTTTCTTTTATGACCTATCGTCATCGAGCGCATTTCCTTTATTTTCCAACTTTCAAATTTGATTCTATGGGATTTTCTTGTGGATGTATTTTCATCTTTCTGTAATAGAGAATATTTTGTATTAATATACTTTAAAGAAATACATTGGGAATGTTAAAAGACAAACATTTTAGTATCGAAAAACTATTTCTTAGCCGATTATAATTGTAATATGCACTTACAATTGACCTAAAAAATATATAATATATTTTCAGATACTAATCATCTTCATAACAGACTTTGCTTTTGCAAAAATACTTGGATATGTAAAATTTGAAGAGAGCTGGATGCTTATTTCGCTTTTTATGTTTCAAAATTTTGAACCCTTTATGGGGGAAGTACCAGAAGGAGAGCGCCGATATATCCCATTTTCACAGCAGATCTGCTGTTAGTAAAAATAATGGCATGTGTGAAATTTGATGAGAACCGGATGCTTATTTCGGATTTTATAATCGTTTTGATTATTCAAAATTGTCAACCTTTGTGGGGGAGGTACCAGAAGAAATGGTCCGATCTCTATCACCTTTATAACAGATCTTGGGTGTTAATTTCGCGTTTTAGGAGCTTCATGGATACTCAAAATGTTGACCCTTTGTGGGGGAGGTACCAGAAGGAGTGGACCGATATATTCCATCTTCACACCAGGCCTTGGGTTAATAAAATTATTGGGATGTGTGTACTTTGAAAATAATCGGACTCTTACTCACATGTTATAAGAGTTGAATTTATTTAAAATTTTTACCCTTTGTGGGGGAGGTACCAGAAGGAGTGAACGAATATTGTCCATCTTCGCACCTGATATAGCACTGATTTAAATATTAGGATTTGCAAAATTGGAGCAAAATCGGATTATCCTTTCTCTTTCTGTGCAGTAAAATATTTTCTTTGAAAATGTTGACCTTTGTGGGGTGGTACCAGAAGGCGTGGACTGATACATTCCATCTTCACACCAGACCTTGGCTTAATAAAAATATTGTGATGTGTGTAATTTGAAAATAATCGAACTCTTACATCACATTTTATAAGAGTTATAATTATTTAAAATTTTGACTGTTTGTGGGGGAGGCACATGATGGAGTGGACCGATATTGTCCATTTTCGTACTGATCTACCACTGATGCAAATATTAGGATTTGCAAAATTGGAGCAAAATATATTTTCTTTGAGAATTTCGACCTTTTGTGGGGAGGTACCAGAAGGAGTGGACCGATATTGCCTATCTCCAAACTCGATCTAATCTGATAATTATATTACGATGTACCAAGTTTGGATAAAATCGGATACTACCTTCGACAGTTATCGGGTGCAGAAGCCAGACGGACGGACATCGCTAGATCGACTCCAAATGTTCTGAAACGGATTTGGTTCAACGAGACTTAGGGTCTAATACCGTTATTTCGTTTTGGCCCCATCAAATTATAGCCATATGGGTATAAAAATGACGTTCTTCAGTTTTTCTCCATTCGAGTTACATTCTCTTTTGAAGTCATATTTACTTTTCATACATACCTGCAATGGATTTCTTGAGATATTTTTCTTTAGCTCCTCGTTAGCAGGCGTAATTTCTGTTTTCAGTTTAAGGATGTTTTCAACATTTTGTTTCTCGTCACATTTTTTACTTGCGGAGCCTGAGCGCAGTTTATTATGTATATTTTTGCTCTTCTTATCAGATTTTAAATTCTTAAATTTGTTACTAGTCGATTTAGTTACGGATATCGCTTCATTACTGTTTTGAAGAGGATGACCCATCATTGGATCGTTTTCAGTTTTTATTTTATCTATTTTAGTTAATCTCATTTGTGATTCTAATACCTCCAGTGATTTGCTACAAACCGGCAGATCTTCCCTATGGCTATTGGTTGGTAGTATAACTTCTTTCTCACTTTTAATTTTAGGACATTTTATTAATACTTGATCTGAAAGTTCCAGCGTTGGCTTTTCTTTACTTTGAATTGGCTTTGGGAAATTTTGTGCTTTTTGTTTAGTTCTCTTGAAGTTGTCATTATTGACATTGGAATCGTCCAATAAAGGTTTGGAGATATCACTTAAATCACCATTATTATTTGGAATAGGTTGGAAGACAAGTTGATTTTCCTCAGTGTAAACTCTGCGTTTCTTTCCTATACTTGGCATGACATTGATTTCAGTTTGCAAATTGGCAGATTTTATAGCATCTTTTGAAAAATCATAATTATCATTGAGGGTCTTTTGGTTTTTGTCCATTGTAAAATTATCACATGTTGTAGTCTTAAGTTCCTGACTAAGCAAATCGAACTGTGACTGGGATATATCCAAGGCTTCATCATTATTTGGAATATCCTGATTTAATTCTTCTTTTTTAATTTTTGGCAGTTTTGTGATGAAAGGTCTTGGTAGGACAGGGTCTTCACTGTCATGTGTGATTGGCGGCAAACCGTTGCTCTTACTCTGAAGATTTTTCAAATTCGATTCGGATATATCCATTTGATCATCCCCCGCCACCGTTTGATTGCTATCATTTGCATTACCTGAAATGAATGTCACATCTAAATAAATATCCACAATAACTATAGACAAATTATTACCATTAGAACTGTTCATGAGCGCGCCTTCATCCTCAGCTTTTATTAAGGTAATGAATGGCCGATGAACTGAAGGCCCGATATCATCTTTCGAGATCTTCAAATTAACTCTTGCGCTTGAAGACTTCGGCTTTTCCAAATCGGACTTATGGAGCATATGCTGGGATTTTGCATTTGTGGAGGTCATAGCTGTTTTATTTATCCATTTACATTGGAACTGATTTCGAAAGTGTATCCTCTGCCTCTGTTGTTGTTCCAAAAAACTTCACACATTGTTTTTGTTTACCAATGCGGTCAGAGTTGCCAACTGCTGTGAAATTACCAATCATATGTTGTTAGAAACAAGTGGGGTACACACTATCGATCATGATGGAAATATTTTGTAAAGCGATCAGTAGAATTGCGTGTATTTTCTGAAAAATTGCAATATCTTTTAAAAATAAAGAAGAAAAAACTTTTTATTATTTATTTTCTAAACCAGTAATATTCGTTAATATTTTTCTTAAGCTATAGGACCATATTGGATTTCTTTAATATCGGAAAAATATTCTTTAATAAATTCATGATTTTAAAAAACTATGCACTTGCACCCTTAGGCTTTTTGCTTTGAAAGTCCGTAAAGATGATGTTCAGATGATCCATAAATAGTTTTAAATACACATTTTTAAATACACTTCTCTAAATTAAGGATACACGATTGGGAACTCATGATTAGTAGTTTTACGTCAAACTGTGTTTACAAAGGAACAGCTGTTTTGTTTATTTAATTTATTTATTTTGCAAACACACACACACGCATTAAACAAATCAAAAGCGGGGAGATTACCGGTCAATAGTTCGTCGGTACGGACTGATTCTTCTTTGTTCGTAATTAACGATAAGGGGTTAATTGATTTTCATCGATTTTCGCAATGCTTTGGAAGGCAGTCATTTCCTCTTTGCTAATAATCCTTTTTTATGGTGCAACGCAAACCAATGGCGAAAAATATCCTGTAGTAATGTGGCATGGAATGGGTTAGTGAATTGATAATTTAATTGTTTAATAAATATTTGCATTAAATTAATTAATTTTGACGTTTCAGGAGACACCTGCTGTTTCCCATTTAGCCTGGGTTCCATTAAGAAGCTATTGGAGCAGGAACTAAATCAAACCTATGTCAAATCATTGCGTATCGGTAACAATATGATCATGGACTATGAAAGTGGTTTCTTTATTCACCCAAACAAGCAGATCGATTATGTCTGTCAAGAATTGGCCAAAGATGAAAAGTTGAAAGACGGCTATAATGCAATTGGCTTCAGCCAGGGCGGACAATTTTTGTAAGTAATAGTTGTTTGGAAATGGTGATGAACTATTTTGGGTAATCTTTTGTGTGAGGCTCATGTACAGAGACAATATGAATATTGGAAATCAAATACATATTAAATTGGCCAGTACCTCTATTAAGACAATGAAAAATGTAGGTTTATGTCAAAGCATTTTTTCGAAATTGTATTCTACCGTTCACAAATTTAAAATTCCAATTTCTTTTGGTAATCTGGGTTCTCAAACCTATAATAGCGGATTTTAATAAAAAAAAATATTTTTATGGCTTCTTTTGGGGAAATTTGTAAAGGAATATTTCTAATAAACAAACGTTGTTTTTATAAAAACATCAATAAAGGGATTAAGCCTGACCATTTTGCAACAACAAAATTTTCAATTAATACAGTAACCTAGCTCAAAGGACCATGGACGGTTTAATAATGTATATATTTTTAGAGCAGGGCTAGGCAGAGAGCCTCAAAATTTTTTTGTGATTGTATGTGTTTTGAAATATCAAAATATTGCAACTGTTTTTTGCCTCTCTTTACAGAGTGAGAAATAATTGGCGATCTTTCAATTTTCGATTAAAATTTTCGGTTTTCAAAACAATTCGTTTGTGAAAATTAATATGTTGATCAGACAATTCGGAGATATACTTGCACAGCTAAGTCGATTATGATTCGTTTTAAAATAAAAAAAAATATATAAGTTGACATTTTCAAAAATTTTATGTAATTTTGATGTTATTTGTGTTTAATTATTTCGGACATAACATGCTAACCATCTAAATTGACCCTTTAAAAATTAATACCGATTACCACAGGCTGACGTACGCAAATAGTCGTAGAATTTTATGCTTTTCAGAAACTCATATCCTATGTTGGGTCCTTAAATATTATATCTATGAATTACAAACAGAATGGCAAACATCACATCCTGTTATTTTTCCTAATATTGACCAAGAACGTACATATAATTTCAGAGAAATCATGAAAATGTCCACTAATTTGGAAGGACAATAAATTGGTCTAACAACATGAAATGAATTTATAGTCCTAACATATCAGTTCGTATGCAAATTTTGTCAAATAGAATTCAATCAAAAAAGATAAATCTTAAAAGTTGTAATTTTTACAATTTCCGAAATATTTGTTTCAAATATGTTGTAAGATATATTTATGTGATCCAATATTTCTTACGGTGTATTCATAAAAAAATCCGACAGCACCTTCCTCAACGACTGCTCGAACAAAACTAAATATTCTCCCAAAACAAATTTGACAGAAAATTCAAAACAATTAATTTTTTACAATTGTGTTGGTGAACACACAGATATCCCAAGGGATACTCTTTGCCTAGCCTTGTTTTAGAGCTATAATCATTCATTAAAACAAAAAACAAAAATATATATTTTCATGGACTAACCAAATTTTTGAAATAATATTTTTTTCAAATTGAAAAGTTTATTTTTTCATTACTGAAACAAAAATTGACTATTTTCAACACATTTTCACAGACGTGCATTGGCGCAACGTTGTCCTCTGCCACCCATGAAAGTCCTAATCTCAATGGGTGGTCAACATCAAGGCGTTTTTGGTTTACCCAAATGTCCTTCGCTTTCATCGAAAACCTGCGAATATATACGCCGTATATTGAACACTGCAGCCTATGAAGAATGGGCCCAAATGGATTTGGTACAGGCGACCTATTGGCATAATCCCCTCAAGGAACGAGACTATATAGCTCATAGTACTTTTTTGGCTGATATCAATAATGAGGTCTTCACCAATGGTTTATATGCCGAACACTTGAATCGTTTGGACAAGTATAGAAGTTTTTAATTTATTTTTTAATTATGATGAATTTGTTGTTGTCGTTTTTATTTAGGTTTGTTATGGTCAAATTCTTGAATGATACTATTGTCCAGCCCAAGGAATCTCAGTGGTTTGAATTTTATAAACCAGGGCAGGATAAGGAAATTCTGCCCTTGAAAGAGAGTAAAGTTTATGAACAGGTTTGTGTTATATTTCAAAAATATCAAATATATATGGCAATATTTTCAGTATTTAGAGTATTTTAAAAAAAATAAAATTATAACATATTTTTTTAATCCTATAACATGGGATGTTAAAACCATGGTACAATAAAAAGGTAAGGTAGAGCTATCAGCTGATTACAATATTTTCAATCAGTGATTTGAAGAAACGTGCATTGCAGGGCGCGCATTAAAGATATTAACCAGTTCTGCCATGGAATTGAAAGATTGAAGAATTTGAATCATAATTTGAAACTATTTAACTCATTTTAAAAATAATTAAAGGTGTCAAATAAATGAAAACAAGTTGTTGCATAGCCTCAGGGCTGTATTTCTGTAGTTTTACGAAGCTGTTCTACCTCCTTATTGTACCATGTCTAAAACCTATTTTGTTCTTCACATAAATGCCCACAAACGTGGATTTTTAAGACCTATTTTTTCGTACACCGAAAGTCCGGAAAGTCTACCGAATTTTAAAATAAGTTAAAAGAAATATTTAATTTTTTATTTCATCATTTCAGCTCGGTCTTAAGCAAATGGATATAAACCAGAAACTGGTCTTCTTGGCCACCGAAGGCGATCATTTGCAGTTCGATAGAAAATGGTTTTTGGAGAATATAATACCATTGTTGAGTCAAGAGAGGAAATAGGGGTGGCAGTCTCTAAGAAGTGGAATAAGAAACTTCAAACCAAATAATATGTAAATATATAAGTTGTAATATTAAACAATAATAATTTTAATAAAAGTGGATTTTTAAAGATTTATTTCAAGGACCATCAGACCAATAAACTTGGATTTTTAAAGAATTTTTTCCAAAGACCATATGACCAATAGTTGGGGATTTTTTAAAGAATTTTTGTCGAAGAACATTTGACAAATAAACGTGGATTTTTAAAGAATTTTTGTCGAAGGCCATTTGGCCAATAAACGTCGATTTTTTAAAGAATTTTTGTCGAAGACCATTTGACCAATAATCGTAGATTTTTTAAAGAATTTTTTCCAAAGACCATCTGACCAATAATTGGGGATTTTTTAAAGAATTTTTTTCAAAGGCCGTCTGACCAATAAACGTGGATTTTTTTAAAGAATTTTTTCCAAAGACCATCTGACCAATAAAAGTGTATTTTTTAAAGAATTTTTTCCAAAGACCATATGACCAATAGTTGGGGATTTTTTAAAGAATTTTTGTCGAAGAACATTTGACCAATAAACGTGGATTTTTTAAAGAATATTTTCCAAAGACCATCTGATCAATAAACGTAAATTTTTTGAAGAATTTTTTCCAAAGCCCATCTGACCAATAAACGGGGGTTTTTTAAAGATTTTGTTTCAAGGACTATCTGACCAACAAACGTAGATTTTTTAAAGATTTTGTTTCAATGACCATCTGACCAATAAACGTGGATTTTTTAAAGAATTTTTTCCAAAGACCATCTGACCAATAAACGTGGATTTTTTAAAGAATTTTTTCCAAAGACCATCTGACCAACAAACGTGGATTTTTTAAAGAATTTTTCCCCATAGACCATCTGACCTATAAACGTTGATTTTTAAAGAATTTTTTCCAAAGACCTTCTGACCAATAAACGTCGATCTTTTAAATATTTTTTTTTCCAAAGACCATTTCACCATTAAACGTTGATTTTTTAAAGAATTTTTTTCCAAAGATCATCTGATCAATAAATGTGGATTTTTTAAAGAATTTTTTCCAAAGACCACCTGACCAATAAACGTGGATTTTTTGAAGAATTTTATCTATAGACAATCTGAACAATAAATGTGGATTTTTTAAGACTTTTTGTTTTGCTTTGAATTATTAATGATTTACCACTTTTTGTCCACGATTGGGAACCAATGGTTAAAAGTTTTACGTCAATCTGTGTTTACAAAGCAACAGCTGTTTTGTTTATTTAATTAATTAATTTTTTACACGTATCAAACAAAACAAAAGCGGGGAGATTACCGGTCAATAGTTCGTCGGTACGGACTGATTCTTCTTTGTTCGTAATTAACGATAAGGGGTTAATTGATTTTAAACGATTTTCGCAATGCTTTGGAAGGCTGTCATATCCTCTTTGCTAATAATCCTTTTTTATGGTGCAACGCAAACCAATGGCGAAAAATATCCTGTAGTAATGTGGCATGGAATGGGTTAGTGAATTGATAATTTAATTGTTTACTAAATATTTGCATTAAATTAATTAATTTTGACGTTTCAGGAGACACCTGCTGTTTCCCATTTAGCCTGGGTTCCATTAAGAAGCTATTGGAGCAGGAACTTAATCAAACCTATGTCAAATCATTGCGTATCGGTAGCAATTTGATCATGGACTATGAAAGTGGTTTCTTCATACACCCAAACAAGCAGGTCGATTATGTTTGTCAAGAATTGGCCAAAGATGAAAAGTTGAAAGATGGCTATAATGCGATTGGCTTTAGTCAGGGAGGACAATTTTTGTAAGTAATATTTTTTTTTTAGGAAACTATTTTGGGTAATCTTTTGTTTGAAATTCATGCACAGAGACAATATGAATATCGAAAATCAAATATATATAAAATTGGCCAGTACCTCTACTAAGACAATGAAAAACGTTGGTTTATGTCAAAGCATTTTTGTCGAAATTGTATTCTACCGTTCACAAATTTAAAATTCTAAATAGCACCCCTTTTCGTTTGGTAATCTGGGATTTCAAACCTATAATCGCGGATTATAATAAAAAAACATTATTTTTATGGCTTCTTTTGGTAAAATTTACAAAGGAATGTTTTTTTATTTATTTTCAATTAATACAGTAAACTTGCTCAAAGGACGGTTTCAAAAACTGCTATATTTCTTTATAATATATGATTATGCATTTTGAAAAAAAAAACAAAGATATAAAAAAATATATATTTTCATAGACTACCCCAATTTTTGAAATCATAATTTTTTCAAATGGAAAAGTTTTCATTATTGATACAAAAATTGACTATTTTCAAAACATTTCCTACTTTATTTTACACAGACGTGCCTTGGCGCAACGTTGTCCTTTGCCACCCATGAAAGTCCTAATCTCAATGGGTGGTCAACATCAAGGAGTTTTTGGTTTACCCAAATGTCCTTCGCTTTCATCGAAAACCTGCGAATATATACGCCGTATACTGAATACTGCAGCCTATGAAGAATGGGCCCAAATGGATTTGGTACAGGCGACCTATTGGCATAATCCCCTCAAGGAACGAGACTACATAGCTCATAGTACTTTCTTGGCTGATATCAATAATGTGGTCTTCACCAATGGTTTATATGCCGAACACTTGAATCGTTTGGACAAGTATAGAAATTTTTAATTTATTTTTTTAATTATTATTAATTTGTTGTTGTCGTTTTTATTTAGGTTTGTTATGGTCAAATTCTTGAATGATACTATTGTCCAGCCCAAGGAATCTCAGTGGTTTGAATTTTATAAACCAGGGCAGGATAAGGAAATTCTGCCCTTGAAAGAGAGTAAAGTTTATGAACAGGTTTGTGTTATATTTCAAAAATATCAAATATATATGGCAATATTTTCAGTATTCAGATTCATTTTTTTAAATGTTTATAACATATTTTTTATAGACGGAAATCCCTTTAACATAGAATGTTAAAACCATGGTACAATAAAAAGGTAAGGTAGAGCTACCAGCTGATTACAATATTTTCAATCAATGATTAGAAGAAACGTGCATTGCAGGGCGTGCATTAAAGATATTAATCAGTTCTGCCATGGAATTAAAAAATTGAAAAATTTGAATTATATTTTGAAACTGTTTAACTCATTTTAAAAATAAGGAAAGGTGTCAAATAAATGAAGACAAGTTGTTGCATAGCGTCAGGGCTGTATTTCCGTAGTTTTACGAAGCTGGTCTACCTCCTTATTGTACCATGTCTAAAACCTATTTTGTTCTTCACATAAATGCCCACAAACGTGGATTTTTAAGACCTATTTTTTCGTACACCGAAAGTCCGGAAAGTCTACCGAATTTTAAAATAAGTTAAAAGAAATATTTAATTTTTTATTTCATCATTTCAGCTCGGTCTTAACCAAATGGATATAAATCAGAAACTGGTCTTCTTGGCCACCGAAGGCGATCATTTGCAGTTCGATAGAAAATGGTTTTTGGAGAATATAATACCATTGTTGAGTCAAGAGAAGAAATAGAGGTGACAGTCTCCAATAAGTGGAACAAGAAACTTCAAACCAAATAATATGTAAATATATAAGTTGTAATATTAAACCATAATAATTTTCATTTTAATAAAAGTGGATTTTTAAAATATTTTGTTTCAAGGACTATCTGACCAATAAACGTGGATTTTTAAAGAATTTTTTCCAAAGACCATATGACCAATAGTTGGGGATTTCTTAAAGAATTTTTGTCGAAGAACATTTGACCAATAAACGTAGATTTTTTAAAGAATTTTTGTCGAAGACCATTTGACCAATAATCGTAGATTTTTTAAAGAATTTTTGTCGAATACAATTTGACCAATTAACGTGGACTTTTTAAAGATTTTTTTCCATAGACCATCTGACCAATAAGCGTGGATTTTTTTAAATAATTTTTTCCAAAGACCATCTGATCAATAGTTGGGATTTTTTAAAGAATTTTTGTCAAAGATCATTTGACCAATAAACGTGGATTTTTTTTAAAGAATTTTTTCCAAAGACTATCTGACCAATAATTGGGGATTTTTTAAAGTTTTTTTTTTTTTCAAAGACCATCTGACCAATAAACGTGGTTTTTTTAAAGAATTTCTTCCAAAGACCATCTGACCAATAAACGTGGATTTTTTAAAGAATTTTTTCCAAAGAACATCTGACCAATAAATGGGGATTTTTTAAAGAATTTTTTCCAAAGAACATCTGACCAATAATTGGGGATTTCTTAAAGAATTTTTTCCAAAGAACATCTGACCAATAAATGGGAATTTTTTAAAGAATTTTTTCCAAAGAACATCTGACCAATAAATGGGGATTTTTTAAAGAATTTTTTCCAAAGAACATCTGACCAATAAATGGGGATATTTTAAAGAATTTTTTCCAAAGAACATCTGACCAATAATTGGGTATTTTTTAAAGTTTTTTTTTCAAAGACCATCTGACCAATAAACGTGGATTTTTTAAAGAATTTTTCCAAAGACCATTTGAACAATAAACGTGGATTTTTTTAAAAAAATCCAATAAACGTGGATTTTTTTAAAGAATTTTTTCCAAAGACCATTTGACCAATAAACGTGGATTTTTTTAAAGAATTTTTGTCGAAGACCATTTGACCAATAAACGTGGATTTTTTTTAAAGAATTTTTGTCGAAGACCATTTAACCAATAAACGTGGATTTTTTAAAGAATTTTTGTTGAAGACTATGTGACCAATAAATGGGGATTTTTTAAAGAATTTTTGTCGAAGACCATTTGACCAATAAACGTGGATTTTTTAAAGAATTTTTGTCGAAGACCATTTGACCAATAAACGTGGATTTTTTAAAGAATTTTTGTCGAAGACCATTTGACCAATAAACGTGGATTTTTTAAAGAATTTTTGTCGAAGACCATTTGACGAATAAAAGTGGATTTTTTAAAGAATTTTTGTCGAAGACCATTTGACCAATAAACGTGGATTTTTTAAAGAATTTTTTCCAAAGACCATTTGACCAATAAATGGGGATTTTTAAAGAATTTTTGTCAAAGACCATTTGACCAATAAGTGGGGATTTTTTAAACAATTTTTTCCAAAGACATTCTGACCAATAAACGCGGATTTTTAAAGAATTTTTTCCAAAGACCATCTGACCAATAAATGGGGATTTTTAAAGAATTTTTGTCAAAGACCATTTGACCAATAAGTGGGGATTTTTTAAACAATTTTTTCCAAAGACATTCTGACCAATAAACGCGGATTTTTAAAGAATTTTTTCCAAAGACCATCTGACCAATAAATGGGGATTTTTTTTCCAAATAATTTCTCATTAATCAATTTTTTATTCACAATCTCATCTAAATTTCAATAGAGTTCCGCGCTTTCAATGACATTTACAATATCTTCCACGAAATTGCACAACACCGAATAAGTCTGCATGTACAGCGAATCTTTGAACGATTTCGAATTCCTGAGCTGTTTTTCAAAGAGCGCATGATTAATCTTTTCACTATTGCTTGCATCTCCCCCAGAACCATTGGCATTTGAAGCTTCAAGAAATTTCAAAAATCCATTTTCCAAACTTTCTCGCCTTTTTTCCCACTCATCAACACATTTGCCCAACAGCCCCCTCACATAGAGTATAGATGTTTGGAATCTTTCGGTTTTTTCGACTATTTCAGAAGTTTCTCCACCTTCACCTCCTCTTATGTTTATTATTCGCCCCAAGAGATCACATAATTCATTGAAATATAAGACACGCTTCTCGGGATCATCAAATCTTAAAATCGCCTCCTTTAGGCTATCCACTCTCAGGTTCCACAATTTGTCACGGGGTTTTTTGACCCGTTTATAAATGTCTTTAATTGACTCTAGATCATGATAACGCTCACATTTATAGTGCGGATTTAAATATTGGAATATTTCCAATTCTGTGAGGGGGCGTTGATAAGGACAGGGACACTCTATGGGTTTTATGGCCGGTGTTAGATCGCCCAGACCCCGAGTTAATTTACGCATCATTTTCCAATTGGATTTGGCAATAACTTCGGAACGTATGTCCTGAAGCCTTTGGCGATATTCGACATGGGGTTCACAGTTACCCTGCAGCTGCATTACAATATCCTCCGTTTTGTGTTTAAACGGAGTGGGGTCTACTTTCAGTACCCATTTGGTTTTGGTGATGCCAACCCGGCGTGGTTGATATAAAACATGAAATTCCTTCCTTTCACCCCGACACAAACGGAAGGGGCGATGATCGAAAACAAATTCATTATCGAGAGGCTTTAAGAGGGCGGCATTGTTTTTGTAATAAGAACGATTTAGCCATTTAAAATTCAAAATCTTCTGGCCCAGATTCTGCAAAATCACAACTCGTTTGACTTCTTGAACAAAAGGTTGGCTATTGAAATTGATTTCAATTCCCAATGGCTTGACGCACTTTTCATTATCCAAAAGGAATATTTGATCGTTAAATTTGAAACCATATTCAATGGGTTCCACTTCGACTTGAACTATATCGTCTGGACAGGGGTTTTCCTCAAGTCCTAGTTCTTTGGATTCTGAGGAGATATCACATATTTTTTCTTCTGGCATTAGTAGCTCAATTTGGGAATTATGTTGTAGGCCATTTGATGGCAAGGCCTTCATCAGGCCTTCACCCACAATTTGTAGATTTTCAATGTCAGGATAAAATTCAATTACACGTTCAATGTCCTCACGATTTTCCTCAATTCTTTGTTCGAGATGTTTCGACATGAGCCATTTACTGGAATGCTCTTCAGCATTACCCTGCTCGCCGCCCAATATTTCACGTTTTGTAATGCCAGGCAGTCCACAAATTTCCAGCTGGGTCCCCTTCACCCTTTCTGCCTTGGGTAAGGTTTCCTCAATGGTGGACTGATCACATTTCTCCTTCAGAGCAGTGGCTTTCCTAACACACAATCTCTCCGGCCTCAAACGTTCAGCATAATCCAGTATTTTCTTTACCGTTTGTTTATCTCTTTCATCGATTGTTGTCGCCCGATTGCTATGGAGTACCGGATCCTTGCAGGGACTTTTTGAGGTATTTCTATAGATTTTCTCTTTTACCACCTCCCGATCTTTCAATACATTTTTCCAATATTGCAGACGTTTATCGTAGCTGTATTCGGATGGCTGTAGCCTTAAACTGGAACACTGGGATGAGGATACATCACACAAGCCCTTGCGTTCATCGAAGATGTTATCGATCAATTGATTGACCAGGCGGCGATTGTTTTCAACATTTACCGTTGGATTTATGTTAGGCGAGTCCACCGAAAATGCATTGACCTTGGATGGATCTGTTTGGGCCAAATTTCTTAGTTTGAACATGGTATTTTTTTTTAAATCTATAAAACTTGTTGTCAGTTTTGAAAGGGAAATCGAGGGGCCTCGAAAGATATGAAGAAACATGCAACGAATTTGTATTTTTCTTTCAAATTCGATAATAAAACAGGTTAAAGTTTCATTGAAGTACATTTCTAGGACAAGAAGACCTGGAAAAGGTTAGAAAATTATCAAAAAATGTCAAGGACAAATGATTTTGAAATTAAGTTCCAATCACGAATTTTTTATACCCTCAGCCATATGGCTAGAGAGGGTATATATCATTTGATACGGCCAAAACGTGACTCATCGAAATAACGGTTTTAGATCCTAGGCCTCTTTTTTGGGCCAAATCCGTTTCAGTACATTTGGAGTCAATCTAGCGATGTCCGTCCGTTAATCTGTCTGGCAGATGCGCACGATAACTCTTGATTTGCTGCAAACATGGTACATCGTAATATTATTATCAAACTTAGATCGAATTCTAAAATGGGCAATATCGATCCACTCTTTCTGGTACCTCCCCCACAAAGAGTCAATATTTTGAATATCCATGAAGCTCATAAAACACAAACTTAACATCTGATTCCATTCAGACTTGGCACACCGCAATATTTCCATAAACATAAGATCTGTTATAAATATGGTAGATATCGGACCATTCCTTCTGGTACCTCTTCCACAAAATGTCAAAACTTCCAATTTCCATTTCCTAAAATCTTTACTGGATAGAAAAAAATGATAATTCGATTTTGCGACAACTTTGCAAATCCCAATATTTGCGTCAGTGCTGGGTCAGGTGTGAAAATGGACAATATCGGTGCACCCCATCAAGTACCTCTCCCACAAAAGGGTCAAATTTTTAATAATTATAACTCTTATTAAATGTGATGTAAGAGTCCGACGGTTTTCAAATTACACGCATCACAATCTTTTTATTAACCCAAGGTCTGCTGTAAAGATGAAATATATCGGTCCACTCCTTCTGGTACCTCCCACACAAAAGGGTCAAATTTGAATATCCATTAAGCTCATAAAACGCGAAATTAACATACGATTCCATTCAAACTTGGCAAATCTCAATATTTCTATCAACACAAGATCTGTTAAAAATATGGTAGAGATCGGACCATTCCTTCTTGTACCTTCACCACAAAGGTTAACGTTTTGAATAACCAAAACTATAATAAAATCCGAAATAAGCGTCCGTTCTCTTCAAATTACACACATAACAATATTTTTTACTAACCCAAGGTCTGGTGTGAAGATGGAATATATCGGTCTACTCCCTCTGGTACCTTCCCCACAAAGGTTCGAAATTTTGAATTCCTTTGAAGCTTATAAAACCCGAAATTAACATTCGATTCCATTCAAACTTGGTACATCTCAATATTTCCATAAACACAAGATTTGTTATAAAGAAGGTAGAGATCGGACCATTCCTTCTGTTACCTCTCCCATAAAAGGGTCAAAGTTTTGAATAAGCAAAACGATTATCCAATCCAAAATAAGCATCTGGTTTTCTTAATATTTCACAAATCCCATTATTTATACTCACACAAGTTATGCTGTGAAGATAGAATATATCGGTCTACTCCTTCTGGTACCTTCCCCATAAAAGGTTCAAAATTCTGAATATTTATGAAGCTCATAAAACGCGAAATTAACATCCCATTCCATTTAGACTTGGCACATCTTAATATTTCTATCAACACAAGATCTGTTAAAAATATGGTAGAGATCGGACCATTTTTTCTGGTACTTCCCCCACATAGGATTCACGATTTTGTAAAATAAAAAGAAAGCGAGATAATCATCCAACTCTCTTCGAATTTCACACATACAAACATTTTTGCTAACACAAGATCTGTTGTGAAGATGATATATATCTGTGAACCCTTTCTGGTACCTCACCCGCAACGGATCACAATTTTAAATACTTTCACCTGTCATAACTTATACTGTCCATAGAAGAACTAGAGGTCGACTATTGTCTATAGAAGAGCTAGAAGTCTTCTATTAACTATAGAGGAGATAAAAAAACTGCAACAAAGTCAAACGACATCATTTTAAGATTTTTTTTTTAAATATTATTGAATGAAAGCAAACAATGTCGGAAATAGCATCAAATTTTAGAATAAGTTTAGATTTGTTTGAATTTGTCACCTTTGGCACGAATTATGGCCCTCAGATAGCCAATGAAACCGTCCGTCATACGCGCCCGCATGTTGCTCTGCGGTATTTTGGGCCATTCCCGGCGAAGCGCTTATTTGAGGTGATCGACACTTTGGTATTTTTTAGTGCCAACCTTGCTTTCCAAAATACTCCAGACTTAAAAGTCCAACGGATTAGTATCCGGAGATGTTGGTGGCCATTGTGCGCTAGAAATGAAGCGAGGAACCTCATTTTGTAACCATTCTTGGGTGGCGCGTGTTGAGTGTGATGGTGGTGAGTCCAGCTGGACATTCCCATGGTCTGCGGCCAAAATGTTTGCGTGCCCAAGGCTCTAATACATCCTCCAGAATATTTTCGCGATAATATTCGGCCTTTATTCTGATGCCACGGTCGATTAATGCGAAGGCGACCATTGGCTGTTATGGCGGCCCTCACCATCACCATGGCCGGCGCTTGAGTTCTGGTGGGCAATCGAAGGTCCACACTTCCAGCTGACCTCTTTGGCAAGTAAACACGATCATTTTTTTTTTTTTTTGAAACTGCTGGACAACGAATGTTTCTTATCGGAGCGGAGAAAACCAAATTCAGCAGTTTACCACTTTCGTCCAAGCGAAGCAACTCTTTGGCTCTTTTGAGTCTATTTTCTTTCTGTTGCGGCGTAAGTTCTTGCACTTTTTGGAATTTCAATAGCTTTACCCCGAGGTCATTTTTTAATATTTGCTGAATGGAATATTGCGATATGTTCAGCTCACGAGCCATTTTTCGGCCACTGCGACGCGGGTTTTGATCAAGTTGCTTCTTTACTTTTCGAGCCATTTCTGCTGATGTTGCTGTTTTCTTCCGTCCACTTCCTTGACGTCGGGCTACGCTACCAGTATCACGGTAACGAGCAATGGTACGAGACACAAAAGATGTATTTACATTTAAATGCTGGAGTGCTCTATCGATGTCCACTTATGGTTTTCCAGCCAAAAATAAAGAAATCACACTATCACGCCTGAATTCCATCATGAATAAATTTTTTTCTGGAAAATTCTCACCAAAATGCTTTGCTAAGCTTGTAAACAATATAATGAGCTTTCACTGGAATAATTTTAACAGCTGTCGGACGAGTGGCTTGGAAACGACAACATTCTGAAGTTGGTTGCAGTTTTTTTATCTCACCCTGTATGTAGATGACATTGAGGTCTTTTATTGTCTACAGAGGGCCTTGAGGTCTTCTATTGTCTATAGAAGAGCTAGATGTCTTCTATTGTCTATAGAAGTGCTAGAGGTCGCCTATTGTCTATAGAAGACCATAAGTACGTATATTGTCAAAGAAGACCTTGGGGCCATACTCTGACTATAGAAGAGCTAGAGGTCGTCTATTGTCTATAGATGGCCAAGAAGTCTTCCACTGCCTGTAGAAGTCCTTGAAATTTTTGTGGTCCACAACATTTTTAATACACTACAGTTCATAAAAAAATATTATCATATAAAACAAAAACCAAAAATAATTCTTTGTCATTCATTCCTCATTTATTCGCCTTTATTAAGTTATATATAAAAAAAATTATTTAAATAATTAAATGTTTATAAATACATGTAATAATAAGTAATATTAAAATGTAGGAGGGCGGACGACATCCAACCAAAAAGCAGAGCTCAGCATATTTCTATGAAATATTATGATTGTGGTCTCTAACTTTTCGAGCAATGGATATTTAGAGGGGGGGGCGGAATGTGAACATGTTTTTTGAGTGAATGAGTTTTCTCTGTATGTGTGTGTTTGGTTGGTTTTCGATTGGCTTTGAAGTGCACTTAATAAATGTCTAGAAACTATTTTCTTTGAAACTCTTTCCATCATCAACTTAACAAAGAACAAATGTTGCAGTTTTACTGGAGAAATGACAGATACAATTCCACAAGAAACCTAAACATATTAACAAAGAAGTAGTAGTAGTAGTAGTAGTAAATAATAATAATAAACAAAGTCAATATAAAATAAATTACCAAAAAAAAGTACATAATATTGCCTTAACACAACCAAAAAGTATCAACATAAATTCTAGGAGTTACAATATGGAGGTTTCCGGTTTTGACTGACTGACTGACTGACTACTAAAACAAACACGCTACATATATATATAGTTACATACACACATATTTATAAAACGAAATACTTTAGGTATTCTATTGTTTTCGAACATCTTAGGGCGAGACAATGTCTTAGAACCGAACTATAGAATCTATAGAGAATTTTATTTTTTATTTATGATACGATTATTAGAATGCTTAGCTTGAGGTTTCTTCGAAAATGATTAGATCATAATTTTGATTTTGGTTTAACATTGCGTGCGAAAATAATTTCCGGATTGTTGCTGGGCTTTTGTATTTCACGATAGTTGTTGACTATTTTCTTGGTTTCATCCTTGGGACATGATTGGAGATTGCGAAAAACTTGAACCTGAAAGACAAGAGGGAGGAATAAGGTGAGGAAAAGTTAGTAAACAAATACAAAAAAGGACTCTAAATAGAACAGAAGATAAGGTTATGCGATATGAGGACCTAGGGGTCTTTTATTGTCCATAGAAAAGCTAGAGGTCTTTCACGGTCTATAAAAGAGCTAAAAGGTCTTCTAGTGTCCATAGAAGAGATAGAGGTCTTCTATCAACTATAGAAGACCTATAGACCTTGAGGTCTTCTACTGTCTAGAGGTCTTCTATAGTCCATAGAAGAGCTAGAGGACTTCTATTGTCCATGGAAGAGCTAGGGGTCTTCTATTGCCCATAGAAGAGCTTGAGGTATTCTATTGCACATAGAAGAGCTGGAGGTCTTCTATTGTCCATAGAAGAGCTAGAGGTCTTCTATTGGCATAGGCTAGAGGTCTTCTATTGGCCATAGAAGAGCTAGAGGTCTTATATTGGCCATAGAAGAGCTAGAGGTCTTCTATTGTCCATAGCAGGGCTAGAGGTCTTCTATTGTCCATAGCAGGGCTAGAGGTCTTCTATTGTCCATAGAAGAGCTAGAGGTCTTCTATTGACCATAGAAGAGCTACAGGTCTTCTATTGCCCATATTAGAGCTAGAGGTCTTCTATTACCTATAGAAGAGCTGGAGGTCTTCTATTGCCTATAGAAGAGCTGGAGGTCTTCTATTGCCTATAGAAGAGCTGGAGGTCTTCTATTGCCTATAGAAGAGCTGGAGGTCTTCTATTGCCTATAGAAGAGCTGGAGGTCTTATATTGCCTATAGAAGAGCAGGAGGTCTTCTATTGCCTATAGAAGAGCTGGAGGTCTTCTATTGCCTATAGAAGAGCTGGAGGTCTTCTATTGCCTATAGAAGAGCTGGAGGTCTTCTATTGCCTATAGAAGAGCTGGAGGTCTTCTATTGCCTATAGAAGAGCTGGAGGTCTTCTATTGCCTATAGAAGAGCTGGAGGTCTTCTATTGCCTATAGAAGAGCTGGAGGTCTTCTATTGCCTATAGAAGAGCTGGAGGTCTTCTATTGTCTATAGAAGAGCTGGAGGTCTTCTATTGCCTATAGAAGAGCTGGAGGTCTTCTATTGCCTATAGAAGAGCTGGAGGTCTTCTATTGCCTATAGAAGAGTTGGAGGTCTTCTATTGCCTATAGAAGAGCTGGAGGTCTTCTATTGCCTATAGAAGAGCTGGAGGTCTTCTATTGCCTATAGAAGAGCTGGAGGTCTTCTATTGCCTATAGAAGAGCTGGAGGTCTTCTATTGCCTATAGAAGAGCTGGAGGTCTTCTATTGCCTATAGAAGAGCTGGAGGTCTTCTATTGCCTATAGAAGAGCTGGAGGTCTTCTATTGCCTATAGAAGAGCTGGAGGTCTTCTATTGCCTATAGAAGAGCTGGAGGTCTTCTATTGCCTATAGAAGAGCTGGAGGTCTTCTATTGTCTATAGAAGAGCTGGAGGTCTTCTATTGCCTATAGAAGAGCTGGAGGTCTTCTATTGCCTATAGAAGAGCTGGAGGTCTTCTATTGCTTATAGAAGAGCTGGAGGTCTTCTATTGCCTATAGAAGAACTGGAGGTCTTCTATTGCCTATAGAAGAGTTGGAGGTCTTCTATTGTCTATAGAAGAGCTGGAGGTCTTCTATTGCCTATAGAAGAGCTGGAGGTCTTCTATTGCCTATAGAAGAGCTGGAGGTCTTCTATTGCCTATAGAAGAGCTGGAGGTCTTCTATTGCCTATAGAAGAGCTGGAGGTCTTCTATTGCCTATAGAAGAGCTGGAGGTCTTCTACTGCCTATAGAAGAGCTGGAGGTCTTCTATTGCCTATAGAAGAGCTGGAGGTCTTCTATTGCCTATAGAAGAGCTGGAGGTCTTCTATTGCCTATAGAAGAGCTGGAGGTCTTCTATTGCCTATAGAAGAGCTGGAGGTCTTCTATTGCCTATAGAAGAGCTGGAGGTCTTCTATTGCCTATAGAAGAGCTGGAGGTCTTCTATTGCTGGAGGTCTTCTATTGCCTATAGAAGAGCTGGAGGTCTTCTATTGCCTATAGAAGAGCTGGAGGTCTTCTATTGCCTATAGAAGAGCTGGAGGTCTTCTATTGTCTATAGAAGAGCTGGAGGTCTTCTATTGCCTATAGAAGAGCTGGAGGTCTTCTATTGCCTATAGAAGAACTGGAGGTCTTCTATTGCCTATAGAAGAGTTGGAGGTCTTCTATTGTCTATAGAAGAGCTGGAGGTCTTCTATTGCCTATAGAAGAGCTGGAGGTCTTCTATTGCCTATAGAAGAGCTGGAGGTCTTCTATTGCCTATAGAAGAGCTGGAGGTCTTCTATTGCCTATAGAAGAGCTGGAGGTCTTCTATTGCTGGAGGTCTTCTATTGCCTATAGAAGAGCTGGAGGTCTTCTATTGCCTATAGAAGAGCTGGAGGTCTTCTATTGCCTATAGAAGAGCTGGAGGTCTTCTATTGCCTATAGAAGAGCTGGAGGTCTTCTATTGCCTATAGAAGAGCTGGAGGTCTTCTATTGCCTATAGAAGAGCTGGAGGTCTTCTATTGCCTATAGAAGAGTGGAGGTCTTCTATTGTCTATAGAAGAGCTGGAGGTCTTCTATTGCCTATAGAAGAGCTGGAGGTCTTCTATTGCCTATAGAAGAGCTGGAGGTCTTCTATTGCCTATAGAAGAGCTGGAGGTCTTCTATTGCCTATAGAAGAGCTGGAGGTCTTCTATTGCCTATAGAAGAGCTGGAGGTCTTCTATTGCCTATAGAAGAGCTGGAGGTCTTCTATTGCCTATAGAAGAGCTGGAGGTCTTCTATTGCCTATAGAAGAGCTGGAGGTCTTCTATTGCCTATAGAAGAGCTGGAGGTCTTCTATTGCCTATAGAAGAGCTGGAGGTCTTCTATTGCCTATAGAAGAGCTGGAGGTCTTCTATTGCCTATAGAAGAGCTGGAGGTCTTCTATTGCCTATAGAAGAGCTGGATGTCTTCTATTGCCTATAGAAGAGCTGAAGGTCTTCTATTGCCTATAGAAGACCTTGAGGTCTTCTATTGCCTATAGAAGAGCTGGAGGTCTTCTATTGCCTATAGAAGAGCTGGAGGTCTTCTATTGCCTATAGAAGAGCTGGAGGTCTTCTATTGCCTATAGAAGAGCTGGATGTCTTCTATTGCCTATAGAAGAGCTGAAGGTCTTCTATTGCCTATAGAAGACCTTGAGGTCTTCTATTGCCTATAGAAGAGCTGGAGGTCTTCTATTGCCTATAGAAGAGCTGGAGGTCTTCTATTGCCTATAGAAGAGCTGGAGGTCTTCTATTGCCTATAGAAGAGCTGGAGGTCTTCTATTGCCTATAGAAGAGCTGGAGGTCTTCTATTGCCTATAGAAGAGCTGGAGGTCTTCTATTGCCTATAGAAGAGCTGGAGGTCTCTATTGCCTATAGAAGAGCTGGAGGTCTTCTATTGCCTATAGAAGAGCTAGAGGTCTTCTATTGGCCATAGAAGAGCTAGAGGTCTTCTATTGCCTATAGAAGAGCTGGAGGTCTTCTATTGCCTATAGAAGAGCTGGAGGTCTTCTATTGCCTATAGAAGAGCTGGAGGTCTTCTATTGCCTATAGAAGAGCTGGAGGTCTTCTATTGCCTATAGAAGAGCTGGAGGTCTTCTATTGCCTATAGAAGAGCTGGAGGTCTTCTATTGCCTATAGAAGAGCTGGAGGTCTTCTATTGCCTATAGAAGAGCTGGAGGTCTTCTATTGCCTATAGAAGAGCTGGAGGTCTTCTATTGCCTATAGAAGAGCTGGAGGTCTTCTATTGCCTATAGAAGAGCTGGAGGTCTTCTATTGCCTATAGAAGAGCTGGAGGTCTTCTATTGCCTATAGAAGAGCTGGAGGTCTTCTATGCCTATAGAAGAGCTGGAGGTCTTCTATTGCCTATAGAAGAGCTGGAGGTCTTCTATTGCCTATAGAAGAGCTGGAGGTCTTCTATTGCCTATAGAAGAGCTGGAGGTCTTCTATTGCCTATAGAAGAGCTGGAGGTCTTCTATTGCCTATAGAAGAGCTGGAGGTCTTCTATTGCCTATAGAAGAGCTGGAGGTCTTCTATTGCCTATAGAAGAGCTGGAGGTCTTCTATTGCCTATAGAAGAGCTGGAGGTCTTCTATTGCCTATAGAAGAGCTGGAGGTCTTCTATTGCCTATAGAAGAGCTGGAGGTCTTCTATTGCCTATAGAAGAGCTGGAGGTCTTCTATTGCCTATAGAAGAGCTGGAGGTCTTCTATTGCCTATAGAAGTGCTCGAGGTCTTCTATTGCCCATAGAAGTGCTCGAGGTCTTCTATTGCCCATAGAAGTGCTCGAGGTCTTCTATTGCCCATAGAAGTGCTCGAGGTCTTCTATTGCCCATAGAAGTGCTCGAGGTCTTCTATTGCCCATAGAAGTGCTCGAGGTCTTCTATTGCCCATAGAAGTGCTCGAGGTCTTCTATTGCCCATAGAAGTGCTCGAGGTCTTCTATTGCCCATAGAAGTGCTAGAGATCTTCCATTTGCCATAGAAGTGCTAGAGGTCTTCCATTCGCCATAAAAGAGCTAGAGGTCTTCTATTTGCCAATAAAAGAGCTAGAGGTCTTCTATTTGTCAATAGAAGAGCTAGAGGTCTTCTATTGGCCATAGAAGAGCTAGAGGTCTTCTATTGGCCATAGAAGAGCTAGAGGTCTTCTATTGGCCATAGAAGACCTTGAGGTCGTCTATGTCGTTTTCATATTTATAATCTATGTGAGTGTGACCTTCGACAGTCGTCAGATCAACAACCATTTTTTTTTTTCAAATTCGAAACAGACTGGACAACTACCCTGGGAAAAACCAGAAGCAAAACACAGCTGTCTTTCCACAGTCGACAAACATATTTACAATTCAAAATGACGTGTCAGAGTTTTTCATACCTGTCCTTTGGACACATATATCGGTGTCCGATAAATAATCCATGTAACACTTTCAAAATATGGTGCCGTTGTTAGAGATCCTTTATATGTGTAGTAATGTTTGCTTAACTCCTGTAGACCAATCCATGAAAGGCAATCTAAAATAAAATCAGAATAAAAAATTATTTTCAGATCCCTTAGAGTTTTCAATTTGTCACCCACCTGAATCAACAGACGCCGAGGTATGGATTTTTTGTACAATACGTATACCTTCGGTGATTTTCTTAAATTCCGGGCAATCCTTTTCACCACACGCCTGTATAAAGAATGCCACAACAGCCAAACCGTCCGGTTTATTCTTTGCCTCTGAGAAATCTTTGTACTTTGAGTTGTAGTGCACCGCATGAGCTTCCATGGAATATTTCATTCCCTCCAGGGTATGTTCACAGCCGGATTCATCCGTGTCGGCCCAGTGAAAATGCAATTGTTCGAATATGTATTTCTGATCACCCAAACAGCCGCCCAGCAGATAGGGTTGTTCCTTGCGTTTGCCAAATGTTACCATGGCCGAGGTGCCGGTATTGTGTACGCGGGCAATGCCCACCGGCTCCCAGTGGCCATGATACTCAAGTGGATCAATGTCATCGATGTGTTCGATGACACGATTGCTAATCTCAATAGGTGATTGAACGGGCATCTTGTGTTTTGGGTTTTCGAACGGGGTTTGTTCAGTTTTTAAAGGCTTCTGGGCGTCGGGCTACTGCTGCTGCAATTGAGAGTTGAGTTGAAAGCCAAGCTTTGTCCACTGATGCTGAAGCTCGCTTCGAGGCGTTAATTATGTTATATTAACGCCGTGATAGGATTTTTTCTTAACTTTAAAAACACAAACGTGTTGTGGTTTATGTAGCCAAGTAAACTGCGACGTGGTGGCGAATTTTATTAAACTCGTTGAGGATCAAGAAATGAATTTATCTTTTTCGAGCTTCAGTTTGCCAGCGGTATTGGGAATGCGTCAGCTTTACTTCTCACGGGCGATATGTTTGAACTGCAGGGAGAGATGATGGAGAGAGAAACAAAATTTAATAAAAATGTATAATAATTAATATATAAATACTTAATAATAATTTCATATAAAAAATTATAAGAAAAAAATCTGGGATAATTTCACAATTCAAGCTATTTTAGTTGAAATTTAAAAAAAAAATCAAGAAGAAAAATAAAAAACACTGTCAAAGAAGACAAATTATTAAATGGGCATTATTATCATTTTTATTTTTTTTTTTATTAAAAAAAAATATATTTTTAAAATTAAAAAAATATTTAAACATTTGTTTTAAGAAAATATATATCTTTTTTAATTCTAAAAAAATAGAATTTGTATTTTACTCAAATCCAAACTCAAACTACCAAATCCAATAAAATATGTTAATTTTTTGAAAATAAAAAATCAACAAAATATATTTTGATATTAAAAAACAAGTAGTCTTACAAAATTTAATTAAATAATGAATTCGAATAAAAAGTTAAGAAAATTTTGTTGTTGCAAAATGGTCAGGTTTAATCCCATTACCGTTGTTTTTTAAAAAAAAAAAGCAACAACATTTGTTTATTAGTGGAGGAAGATGGTAATGTTTACCAGGAGGTAAGGCAGGGAATACTTAGGTTTCGAAAAGAGCCACCAATCCTCATCAGTTCCCCGAATATGTATTTCTGCTCAGCCATATGGGTGAGGGTATAAAAATATATTTTTTATACCCTCAGCCATATAGCTAGAGAGGATATATAATTTGATACGGACAAAAACGTGCCTCATCGAAATAACGGATTTAGACCCTAGGTGTCTTTAGGCCAAATCCGTTTCAGAACATTTGGAGTCGATCTAACGATGTCCGTCCGTCTGTCGGGTTGGCTGGTGTGCACCATAACTCTCGAAGGGAGCAATCGATTTGGTCCAAACTCGGTGCATCGTAATATTTTTATCCAACTTAGATCGAGTCTGGAGTTGGGTAAAATTGGTCCACTCCTTCTAGTACCACCCGCACAAAAGTTCGAAATTTCCAAAAAAAATATTTTACTGCATAGAAAGAGGAAGGATAATCCGAACGCTCAAACTTTGCAAATCCTAATATTTACATCAGTGCTTTGTTTGGTGCGAAAATTGACAATATCGATCCACTTCAACAAGTACCTCCCCCACAAAGGGTAAAAATTTGGAATAATTATAACTTTTATAAAATGTCCGTTTGTCTTCAAATTACACACATGAAAATATTTTTATTAATCCAAGGTCTGATGTGAAGATGTGTAATATCGCTCCACTCCTTCTGGTACCTCCCCCACAAAGGGTCAAAAATTAGAATAGCCATGAAGCTCAAAAAAAAAAAAAAAAAAAACGCGAAATTAACATCCGATTCTTTTACGACTGTCAAATCTCAACATTTTCATCAACACAAGATCGGTTATAAAGATGGTAGAGATCGGAGCATTACTTCAGGTACCTCCACCACAAAGAGTCAAGGTTTTGAATAACCAAAACGATAATAAATAATATTATCCCATTATTTCCACAAACACTAGATCTGTTGTGAAGATCGAATACATCGGTCCACTACTTCTTGTACCTCGCCCACCAAGAGTCAAATTTTTGAATATCCATGAAGCTCATGAAACGCAAAATTAACATTTGATTCCATTCAGACTTCAGGCACATCTCAATATTTCCATCAAAATAAGGTCTGTTGTAAAGATGGTAGAGATTGGACCATTTCTTCTGGTTCCTCCCTCACAAAGGTTCAAAATTTCGATTATAAAATCCGAAATAAGCATCCGGTTCTCGTCATACTTCACAAATCCCATTACTTCCACAAACACTTGATCTGCTGTGAAGATGGGAAATATCGGCCCACTCCTTCTGGTACCTCTACCACAAAGGGTAAAAATTTTGAATATCCTTGAAGCTCATAAAACGGGAAATTAACTTCCGATTCCATTTAGGCTTGGCACATCTCAATATTTTTATCAACACAAGATCTGTTATAAATATGGTAAAGATCGGACCTTTCCTTCTGGTACGTCTCCCACAAAGAGTTAACATTTTAAATGGCCAAAACGATCATAAAATTCGAAATAATAATCCGGTTTTCTTCAATTTACACACATAACAATATTTTTATTAATCCAAGGTCTGGTGTAAAGATGGAATACATCCGTCCACTGCTTCGGGTACCTCCCCCACAAAGGGTCAAAATTTTGGGTATCCATGAAGGTCATAAAACACGAAGTTAATATCCGATTCCATTCAGACTTGCCTCATATCAATATTTCCATCAACAAGTGCTGTTATAAAGATGGTACATTTTTTAATAATTTTTTTTTTTGAAAAAGGAGAACTGGTGGGTCCTCGTAACAATTTTTTTCAAACTCTCAATAAATAGGTCTGGTGGTCCTCGAAAAAAAATTATTTTGGAATACAAGTCTAAAAAGTATTTTTTTGGTTTCAAAATTCTTAAAAAATGAAAAGAAAAAGAAAACATTTAACTAGCCTGTCGGTCATTTATCAATACTTTTAAGGAATCTCCGTTAAATAGGCCCAGTTGTCCTTGAAAAACATTAAAAAATCCAAAATTTATAAGTCCAGTTTCCCTTTATTTAAAAAACACATTTAATAGCTCTGGTGGTCCTTGAAGAAAAATTCCCAATATTGTGGGTCCGGAGGTCCCTGAGAAAATATGTTAAAAAAATACACTTTTATTCCAAGGACATTTACCTGGAGGATAATTACAAAAAGTATTAAAAATTGAATGTTAACCGCACAAATTTAATAGGTTTATTTTTCCTTGAGAAAGTGTTTCAAAAAAAGTTTTATACGTCCGCCTGTCCTCTAAAAAATTGGTCAAAATTCCAAATTTAGTAGGATCTTGGATAAAAATCCTTACAAATTCCAATATTGTGGGTCCTTGGAAAAAAATATTAAAAATTCACAGTTAGTCCAAGGACGTTTTCCTGAAAGATTATTAAAAGATAATAAAATTCGAATGATAACAGCACAAATTTAAAAGGTGTAGTCCTTGAGAAAATATTTAAAAATTCAAGTTTTATAGGTCCGCCTGTCCTCTTAAAAATTGATCAAAAATCCAAATTTAATAGACCTGGTGGTCCTTGTAGAAAAATTCCTGACAAATCGCAATTATGAGGGTCCGATGGTCATTGAAAAAATGTGTTTAAAAATCCACGGTTAGTCCAAGGACATTTACCTGGAGGATAATTACAATGAGTAGTAGTAAAAATTGAATGTTAACCGCACAAATGTAATAGGTCTAGTTGTCTTTGGGAAAATATTTAAAAAATTCAAATTTTATAGGTCCGGCTGTCCGCTATAACAATTGATAAAAAATCCAAATTTAATAGGTCTGGTGGATCTTGGAAAAAAACATACAAATCCCAATATTGTGGGTCCTTGAAAAAATATGTTAAAAAATGCACAGATAGTCCAAGGACGTTTACCTGAAGGATAATTAAAAGAGGGGTAAAAATCGAATGTTAGCCGGTTGTCCTCTAAAAAAATATTTAAAATCCATATTTAATAGGTCTTGAAAAAAATCCTTACAAATCCCAATATTGATGGTCCGGTGTGGTCCTTGAGAAAATATGTTAAAAAATCCACGGTTAGTCCAAGGACATTTACCTGAAGGATAATTACAAAGAGTAGTAGTAGTAAAAATTGAATGTTAACCGTACAAATTTCAAAATCGAACTATTCAATTCAATTGTCTTGGTAATGAATTCAGACAATCGAACCGTTTGAATTCTCAGCAAATAATCGGAAAGAGGGAGCGGGGAGATGGAGGGTGGGGGTGTTAGAATACATTAAACGACTTTTAAATTCATTCTGACTGACTTATGTTTTTGTGTCGTCTCGTCTTCGTCTTCAATACCTTTTCAATGCAACAGCAAACACCTCTCACTCCCATTTTCTCTTCCTCTCTCCACCTCTCTCTCTGCATAAAAGGTTTCACAAATGACCAACAGTACTGGGTGGGTGGTGGTATGGGGGGGTCTGCTTGATGTTTGTTTTATGACAAAAGAGTTTCAGTTGTTTTCAATATTTCAATGTCAATAGTGAATGAAAATATGAAAAAATTTATTGGCAGCAGCAGTCCTAAGACAATGGCAAAACAGTTGTGTGGATAGGCAGGGAGAAGCAAACCAAAGAGAGCGAAAGTGGCCACTACGTAAAGTTGAAATTAGAGAACTTACAAATAAAGAGAGGGGCTATTGAATTTTCCTGTTCAAATTGTATATTTGACCTCTTCCGCTGCTCTCTCTTCCCGTTCTCTCTATAAAAGAATATATTAAAATAAGCTTGAAGAAAGATATATTTTAAAAATCCCCGAAATGACTATGTTGCACCTTAAAAAAATATTGTTAGACAACTTTTGCTTGCCACTGTTTTGGCCAAGTAAACGGTTTCATTGCTGTTATATCAGGCAATAAAGGCATTCATCAAATTTATTATTTAATGGCAAGGGCAAGGATATATTCCATATCCTTGCCGAGCGGTTCGACGAACTAGATATGTTGGTAATAAACGCAAACTCACGTCACACATTTATCTATCCGTCCATCCAACCAGCCAGCAAAAGAAGACGGATCATTTGACACATTTAGCCAGTTGCATGCATTTTCACAAATTAATAAAAATGTCTTTGACACTTCTCTCCCCCCTTCCACAGGCAGGCCATCGCAATTTACACTTATCACGGAGGAACGAACCTAACGATTTGACAGCAGAAGAAGCCCCACCAGCAAGAAACCAATTGATTAACAATGCCAATGAAATTGAATAATTTATTTATCATTTAGGCGAATGGTTGGTTTGTCACGATAGGCTATCATTTGGTTACTCCTTTGAGTGTTTGTAAATAGGCGGACAGGGGAGAGGAACAACGGGAAAACAGTGGGTGGGCGAGCATAAAGGCATTTGCAAGGATGTGGCAAAATTACGAATTTCTTTTTTGAAGAATAATTTCAAGGACTTAGGGCTATTTGTCCTTTAAATTATAATTAAATTAATAATAGTAATTATTATTAAAAATATATGAGCCTCATGGATATTCAAAATTTTGACCTTTTGTAGGGGAGGTACCAAAAGGAATGGACCGATATATGCCATCTTCACACCAGACTTTGAGATAATAAAAATTTTGTGATGTGTGTAATTTGAAGAGAACAGGACGCTTATTTTGGGTTTTGTGATCGTTTTAGTTATTTGAAATGTTGACCCATTGTGGGGAGGTACCAGACCTTTGTGTGGGAGGTACCAGAAGGTGTGGACCGATATCGCAGCAGACCTTGTGTTAAAATAATGGCATGTGTGAAATATGAAGAGATCCGGATGCTTATTTCGGATTTTATGATCGTGTTGTTTTTTAAAATGATGGCCCTTTGTGGGGGAGGTAGCAGAAGGAGTGGACCGACATATCCCAATTTCTCACCAGACCTTGGGTTAATAAAAATATTGTTATGTGTGTAATTTAAAGACAACCGGATGCTTATTTCGGATATAATAATCGTTTTGGTTTTTCGAAATTTTGACCCTTTGTGGGGGAGGTACCAGAAGGAATGATCCGATCTCTACAATCTTTATAACAGACCTTGTGTTTATAGAAATATTGAAATATGCCAAGTCTGAATGGAATCGGATGTTAATTTCGTTTGTTTATGAGCTTCATGGATATTCAAAATTTTGATCCTTTGTGGGGGAGGTACCAGAAGGAGTGAACCGATATATTCCATCTTCACACCAGACCTTGGGTAAGTAAAATTATTGGGATGTGAGAAATTTAAAGACAATTGGGCTCTTACATCACATTTTATAAGAGTTATAATAATTCCAAATGTTGACCCTTTGTGGGGGAGGTACTGGATGTAGTGGACCGATATTGTCCATCTTCGCACCTGGATTTGCAATGTTGGAGATAAATCGGATTATCCTTTCTCTTTTTGGGCAGCAATTTATTTTCTTTGGAAATTTCGACCTTTTGTGGGGAAGATACCAGAAGGAGGACCGAGACTGCCTTTCTCCGAACTCGGTCGAAAATTGACAATAATATTACGATGTACCAAGTTTGAATCAAATCGAATACTTTCTTCGGGAGTTAGCGGGCGTACCAGACAGACAGATGGACGGACGCTGGATCAACTCCAAATGTCCTGAAACGGATTTGGTCCAAAGAGACCTGGTCTTAACAAATGATATATACCCTCTTCTCTAGCCATATGGCTATAAGGGTATACAATTTAATTAATATTCGTTGATTTTTGAAAAAGTTTGAGATTTTCAACAACTGCCGAACATTGAGTTTTTTTACTGGGTTTTTATTATTTTTTTTTAAATTAAAAATCAAATTTAAAATTTTTATGTAAATTAAATTTAGATTTTTTAAAATAAATAAATAATAAAAATTAAATTAAAACATTAAATTTCAATTAAAGCATTAACCGATTTCAATAAAAAATTGGAAAAAAAAAATGGTCAAATAAACATATATTTTTAATGTTTGAGTTTTTGTTTAGTTTTTTTTTTTTTTTGAATTATTTTAACAATGTCTCAAAATTTTAATAGTTTATATAAAAAAATTATGACGAAGTTTGGATAAATATGCGTAGATTTTTGAAAAAGTTTGGAAACGTCGAATTTTTGACTTGTTTCTAATTTTTTTTATTAAAAATTTTAAGAAATTTTAAGATACTATTCAAGTATTCCCATTTTAAAATTTTTAAAATTGAAATTGCGTTGTTTTTGTTTTTTTTTTTGCTGATCTATGGATTTAAAATTGCAGGGCTTATTTTTTTAACTTATTTATGGGAAAATATTATTTGAATTTAAATATCAAGACATTACAGTCGTAAAACTAATTTTTTATCACTCGGTGTTATTTCAAGTACACTTTATTTCTATTTAATTATTATATGTATAAAAAAAATATTTTACAAATATTTATAATTACATTTTCTCAATTGTTGTAATGCAATTTGCCACAATTTTTATATTTATTTTTATTTTTCTCAGACTTCGTAATTTTCCCGTCGATTTGCAACGTTTCGAGCACAATTTTTAATATTTTTATGTATTTATTTGGTTTTAATTTCCCGACAAATAATCACGTGAATTAGTTTCTTTCCATTGGTTGTCGCTCAACCATACGATCGATCTCTCACTTCAACAGATGTGGTTGTCTGTCGCGCGTCCGAACACTTTGCGGTTTCAAAAATAAATGAAGTGTTTCGCCGTTCCGAGGGGATTTTCAATGCAAATAACAAAAAAATAGAAACTGGGTATTTTAAAGGTAACACAAACATATACGAGAGGTCTAACGAATCGTAGATAACAACCGGCAGCAGATCTTGTCGCAATTCTTATCAAGCGACTGATTAGGCAGCGATTAGCAAATGCAAAAAAAAAAAAAGAACAGCAAACTGAACAGCAACAATCCAGACATGAAGCGATTACACCCTAGCCAAATGAAACAGGAATTTGTTGATTTTTTTTGCTTCCAATTTTATCTCGCTGATCATAAATTTCGTTTGAGGAACGTGTAATTATGTCACAAAAACTAATCAATAATTGCATTTAAGTGAAATTGGGCGTGAAGGTTATTCAGTGAGCTAGGTGGAGAAAGTTTAAGGCGGGAAATCAAAATCATATGCCTCAGTTGGCAATTGAGAACAACAACTTTCCGGCAATGGAGAATAATGTATAGGAAGGGTATCTTAGTAAGAGGCTTGACAGATGGTCGAATGAACATGAATCTAATTTCTTCCTAAAAAACAATTTTATATATCATTTCAATTTTTTAAACATATGTAACCCTTATTAACGAATTCCATACTCAAATATTATTCTACATTATCCCACGTAGGTTATTGAATTCCTTTTTCTATTAATTCCGTAACTCCATGTTAGTTTTCTCTCAGTGCACTCTTGAGTGTTCCCTCTCAGAGGAGTTTTTGTTGTTGTTATTAAAAATCAAATCATCATTTTATTATCAAATCTTGTCCATCTGATTAGCTGTCAATTGTATAGAGAGCATTTCTTTTACGTAGGAGAGATAGGATAGAGAGAGAGAGGGAAGTGAGAAGAAAAAGTAGTCCAAAATGCAATTGCTTCAGATAAGACCGACGATAGATTTTTTTGCAAATGACATTTTATGACACATGGACACACACACGCAAATGCAAACAAACGTCATTTATAATGATTATTGTGATAATCGTTGTTATTAACGGCGTTGCTATTTTATCATCATAATCATCAATAAAATGTTATCGTGCGATTTCTAAGGTTATTGTCAAAAATAACAAAAAGTAGACTGACGTCTAGGAATTTTTTTAATCTATTATGCAATAGAATGGAATCTATGGGAATTTATATGATTATAAACAATTAACACAGATGCACCAAATACCTTGGTGAGAACCAAAATTTAAACTGGAACAAGAACAACGAGGAGCGTACTAAAAAGGGACTCATTGCAGGAACGCAGACATAGATCCCAATATCATTTGCAAATGTTTCAAAGCGATTCCCTGACTAGGCAGACCATTTTCTTAAGTACACTTACAGGGTGAGATAAAAAAATGCAACCAACTTTAGACAGCTGTCATTTCTAAGCCACTCGTCCGACAGCTGTTAAAATTATTCCAGTGACAGCTCATTCTAATGTCTACAAGGGTAAAAAAGCATTTTGTTAAAAATTTTCCAGAAAAAGTTATTTCTGATGGAATTCAAGCGTGATAGTGTGATTTCTTTATATTTTGCTGGAAAACCACAAGTGGCTATAGTTAGAGCACTCCAACATTTAAATGTGAATAAATCTTTTGTGTCTCGTACTATCGCTCGTTACCGTGATACTGGTAGCGTAGCCCGAAGTCAAAGAAGTGGGCGGAAACGGACGAAACAGCAACATCAGCAGAAATAATTCGAAAAGTTAAGAAGCGACTTGATCGAAACCCGCGTCGCAGTGGCCGAAAAATGGCTCGTGAGCTGAACATATCGCAATATTCCATTCAGCAAATATTAAAAAATGACCTCGGGGTAAAGCCATTGAAATTCCAAAAAGTGCAAGAACTTACACCGCAACAGAAAGAAAAAAGACTCAAAAGAGCTAAAGAGTTGCTTCGCTTGGCCGAAAGTGGTGAACTGACGAATTTGGTTTTCCCCGATCAGAAAACATTCGTTGTCCAGCCGTTTCTAAAAACAAAGTGATCGTGTTTACTTGCCAAAGAGGTCAGCTGAAAATGTGCACCTTCGTTTGGACACCAGAATTCAAGCGCCGGCCATGGTGATGGTTTGGACCGTCATAATAGTCGATGGTCGCTCTCCGCATGGTTGGCACTAAAAAATACCAAAGTGTTCATCACCTCAAGCAAGCGCTTCCGGGAATGGGCCAAAATACCGCAGAGCAACATTCGGACAGCGTGTTAACGTTTCATTGGCCGTTTGAAGGCCATAATTCGTGTCAAAGGTGACCAATTCGAACAAATCTAAACTTATTCTAAAATTTGATGCTATTCCCGACATTTTTAGCTTTCATTCAATAAAAAAGTTCTTTTATAAAAAAATACACACCTAATGTAGTAAAATATATTTTTTAAATTTATTTTTTGCTCTCCTGCCCCTTTGGAAAAACATGTTATCAACCCAGCTTAGTGTTGTCACTTCGTCTATGAAATATCTGTCGAAAAAATAACAGTTCAAACCGAAGACCATTGTCTAAACATATCAGAAAATATAACTTTATATTTTCGATTTTTCTTCTCGGGATAGTTTCGAAGATCCCCATCAAAATGGTGGAATGTACTCTGTGCTCCCTGATGGGCCTTGGATGTCGCTGCATCTATAATATACTAATGACAGCATTGGAATATCCCTTGGTGGTCTTTTTACTTAGCTGTTTGATAGCTTTGGTATTTCTATTCAATATCCAAAGTGCCAAAATTCTTTGCGAACTGGGCAGTGTGGCAGCCAGAAGTTGTGGTATGGCATTTGCCACAGGAGGGGAAACCAATGCGGTTTGTGGTCGAAGATGTTTAACAAATTTCGATTATGGAGTTGAAAGAGGTAATTTGAAGGATGTTGAAAAGAGGATCTGAAATAAATCTTTTTTTGGTATCAGGACCTCACACATGGCCATGTTCTGGAGCCAATCAATCACCCATCAATATAATTGAGGCCAGTGTTCAGAAATTTCCCATACGAGAGTTGCTGACATGGAATCATTATGAAGATTTGCCCAGTGCCGTAATTCTGGAAAATACAGGTCACACAGGTGAATAGAGATTTGATATAATAAAAGTCCTTCCCACTGTATGCGATTCTTCCCTCTAGTTGTATTACGAGCCTCGTTTTCCGGCAATACACCCACCTTGAGTGGGGCTGATCTATTGGCCAGCTATACCTTTGTTGAGTTATGTTTCCATTGGAGCCAATCGAATAGTGAGGGTTCTGAACATATGCTAAATTATCGCCACTATCCCATGGAGTTACAGGCTATGCATCGCACCGGACCGCCTGGGGAAAATGCCTCCAGTTATGATCTGCTAATGGTGGCCTATTTCTATGATGTAAAAAAGCAAAGAAGTTTTAAATTTGTGAAAATAAGGAAAATATGATTTTACATTTCAGATATCCTCCAATAACCCCTATTTGGAGCCCATTGTACAAAATCTACCCCGCATACGAATGCCTGGAACCCATGTGGAAATTCCTCCATTTCCCCTCAGCTATTTGTGTCATCAATTTCGCAGTGGTTTCTATAGCTATGGTGGATCATTGACACAACCACCCTGTTATCAGGGTGTGGAATGGTTCATTCTTCCCGAACCCTTGGCAATTGGTGAAAGACAATTGAACGAATTTCGCCAATTGTTGAGTGGCGATGGGAAATCACGTATCGTTCGTAATTCCCGGCCCATTCAAAACATCAATGAATCACGAGTGGTGAATTTGAATCAATACAGTCCCATGGAAGCTTGTGCATTAATGGATAGGGGGGAGTCATATCAATCTCAAGATGTGATGGCCTCAGCAGCCGAAGAGAATTCAGAGAATTTGGATTGAATTGAATGTTTATATTTTTTAACTACTGTAACTATGTATTTTTGAATAGTTAAATAATCATATATTTGTTTCAAAATAATTTTTGAGAGAGCCAATAAAACCATAGTTTTTCTCAAATATTTTTTCGTCGAAAATATTCGTGGATTATTAGAGAACTTTTTCAAGAACTACAATGTCAATTTTTCGTTTTTAAATTTTAAAAACTTTTTACAAAAATATAGGAACTTTGTGCATTTTCCAGAATTTTATTAAGGACAATGTCAAAGGTGGTTTTTTAAAGAATATATTTTCTAGGACTCTACTGCCAAAGAGTTTTTTCATGGACTAAAGGGACAATATTTGTTTATTTTTAAAGAATATTTTTTCTGGAATTTTGAGGACAATATTTAAGTTTAGATTTTTTCGAATTGGTCACCTTTGGCATGAAATATGGCCTTGAAACGGCCAATGAAAACGTCACACGCTGCCCGAATGTTGCTCTGCGGTATTTTGGCCCATTCTCGGTGAAGCACTTGCTTGAGGTGATCGACACTTTGGTATTTTTTAGTGCCAACCTTGCTTTCCAAAATACTCCAGACACAATAGTCCAACGGATTGGTATCCGGAGATTTTGGTGGCCATTGTGCGCTGGAAATGAACCGAGGAACCTCATTTTGTAACCATTCTTGGGTGGAGCGTGCTGAGTGCGATGAAGCTGAGTCCTGTTGGTATGTCCAAGGCCTGCGGCCAAAATATTTGCGTGCCCAAGGCTTTAATACACCCTCCAGAATATTTTCGTGATAATATTCCCCATTTATTCTGGTGGCCCACTGAAGGTGAACATTTTCAGCTGACTTCTTTGGCAAGTAAACTCGATCATTTTGTCTATCTACAAACTGTTGGACAACAAATGTTTTCTCATCGGAGCGGAGAAAACCAAATTCGGCAGTTCACCACTTCCGACCAAGCGAAGCTCTTTTGAGTCTATTTTCTTTCTGTTACGGCGGTGTAAGTTCTTGCACTTTTTGGAATTTCAATGGCCTTACCCCGAGCTCATTTTTTAATATTTGCCGAATTGGATATTGCGATATGTTCAGCTCACGAATCATTTTTCGGCCACTGGCTTAGAAATTACAGCAGCCTAAAGTTAGTTGCAGTTTTTTCATCTCATCCTGTATATATACCCTCAGTCATATGGCTACAGAGGGTATATATCATTTGATACGGCCAAAACGTGCCTCATGTCCGTCCGTCTCTCTGGCTGGTGCAGACGATAACTCTCGAACGGAGTATCCGATTTGGTCCAAACATGGTACATGGTAATTTTACTATCAAACTTAGAACGAGTTCGAAGATGAACAATTTCGGTCCACTCCTTCTGGTACCTCCCGGACAAAAGTTAGAAAATACAAAAAAAAGTTAGAGCACAAAAAGAGGAATGATAATCCAATTTTGCATATCCGAATATTTGCATCAGTGCTACGTCAGGTGCGAAAATGGACAATATCGGTCCACACCATCAAGTACCTCCCCCACAAAGGGTCAACATTTTGAATAATTTTAAATCTTATAAAATGAGTCCAAGAGTCCGATTGGCTTTAAGTTACACAAATTTTTATTACCCAGGACTGGCGTGAAGATGGAATCTATCGGTCCACCCTGGTACCTCCCCCAAAAGTATCAAAATTTTGAATAACCACGAATCTCATAAAACGCAAAATTAACATCCGATTCCATTTATCAATATTTCTATCAAGACAAGATCTGTTGTAAAGATAATAGAGATCGGACCTCCCCCACAAAGGCTCAAAGTTTTGAAGAACCAAAACTATCAAAAACCCGAAATAAGCATCCGGTTCTCTTCATATTACACACATCCCTTGAAGCCTTGAAGCTCATAAAACGCGAAATTAATATCCGATTTCATTTAGTCTTGGTACATCTCGATATATCCAACAAAAATATATATAAATAGGTATACGAATGACGTCGTTGGAAGGGAAATCGCTTTATTTTCGAGCCTAACTCTTAAAAAAGTTTTTTAAATACCCAGTTAACCACCAGAAAAATGGGAGATATGAGAGAATTCCCCCTACGTAGGAAGGGGTTCGAATCATCTGACCAAAAAAGGTGGATTTAAAAAAATGCAGGAGACGAGATATGAGAAGAATGGGAGATATGGGAGAATTCCCCCTGCGTAGGAAGTTCGGTTCGACTCATCTGATCAAAAATGGTGGATTTAAAAAAAGTTTTTTTTTTTAACTCAGCATAAGTTTTTCAAAAACTAGTTTTTCATCGGACTAATAACATTAATTTTTAATCTCCTCAAAAATTGCGGATTTTTTTTTTTAATTTTTCTGAGTTAGTCCTCATATGCCTGAGAAGGTTATTTAAAAATATTTAGCCTTATTTTAACCCAGAGAGTCGTAAATGGGGCGAAAGGAACCCAAGGTATGTTGTTGTAGCAGTAGTACATGTAAGTGTTTGCGTTCTGCTAATCTGGTTCCAGCTCCAGGTTTAGAAATTCGTCCACTTTAATGGGCTATAGCCAGAGATCTTCTGGAGTGAGTTGGGTAGGTTTGGCTGTGCAATTAAGGAAGTGCAGCGTATTGTGCGGGCCTGTATCACACGCCGGGCAGGCGTCACGCACATCTTCATCAAATCGTGCCCAATACGAATTGAGACGACTACACCATCCTGAACGTAATTGCGCCAAAACTAACCTTGTTTGTCTATGCAGCTGACGTTCTTCAGCTGCAATGGATGGGGAAACCCAAGGTATGGGGTACCCCACTGGCAACCGACTTACTGACAACTCTTTCTCCTTTAGGCCCAAGTTGAAAAAATCTGTTTTTATATCACCCCATATTAGTTGCAGTATTCTCTTTGAAGTATGCAACTTCCTGCAGGGTCATCCACATATATACGGATATTGTTCTAATAGTCCTTAGGCATATTTTCTTAAAAATCCATGAATGTTCATTCTATGGCTCTATGTAAAAATAAATAAATTTATTATTTAAAAAACATACAACTATTTTATATTCTTACCAATCTCTGGAGATAAGGATTCCAAAAATATATTCTTTTAATTACCTGGAAGAAAAAATAAAACAATTATTAACTTTTAATTTCAAATTAAAAAAAAAAAAAACATTTTTTAATTGCCTGGAAAAAAAAAAACCAAATAAAACAATTGTTTAATTCTCAAATTTAAAAAAAGTTTATCCTAGCAGACATCTAATCCAACCTCTTAGAAATACAATCACCAAAAACAAGATCGTCATCATCAACGGTTTGATTGAAGGAAAATAATCTACTAATCCAACTTCTTAGAAATACAATCACCAAAAAAAAGATCGTCATCATTATCATCATCAACGATTTGATTGAAGGAAAATAACCTGACATCGATAAATTGCGTTTTGTGGTTTTCAATTGGAATACGTGTTTGGTTGACACATCCCGCACACGGAATGTTGTTGGTGTTGTTGTTGTTTTTGTGGTCACACAATATTTCATTATCAAATTAAATATGGCTAAAGTCCATAGATCGCATGTCAAGACATCACAAAAATTCTCCAAAAAGAAAAAAACAAAGGAGGGTGAGGAGGCGGGATAAGGGAAGAACAAAAAATTATAATTGGAACAAATATTTGTCATTACTGAGTGGTTGACGTTGCTGTTTAATCTTTGTGATCAAAAAAAAAATTGCAAAAAGGCAGATAAAAAAAATAAGAAAATTCTATAAAAAAAACAACAACAAATAATAATTGCTGGAAAGCGGGTAAGCACGATAAATGGCGATAAGCAAAAGTGTCTCTAGAAATAAAACTGAAAAAAAAAAAAAAAACAAACCGAAAAGCAAACAAAAATACTCCACGGGGTTCTAAAACAAATTGTGAGTTCTACTACAACAGCAACAACAGCAACAACATCAACAAATAAAATAATTAATTGTTACAAAACAAAAATCAACAGAGACGTTAATGTCCACTCACTAAAGTCAGACAATGACTTCAACAACATTGTCTGGCCCCTCAACACCCTACCTCCCGCCCTCCACAGTCTATTCAACAGTGATGAATTGAATGTTACATCAACCTGCAAAACTATTGTCAAACAGCGTTGTGGCAAGGTGGAATGAGAATTTGTGAATAGTTCTAAAGAAAATTGAATGAATTTAGTTTGAAAATAATGGAAGGCATGCTAAAAAAGACTCACATCCATAGAACACTACTTAATATGAGTTCTGTCTAATAAAAGGTATCTTGAAATGTTTTCTTACCGTAGAGACTTTTTTCAATCTTATAGACGATCTTTAGAAAGTCTTCAGTAAAACCTTCCATAAGGCCTTTAAAAGTCGTAGACGAATAGTATTTAATACCATACCAAGATTTCTTTTGTAGGCATGAGAGGAGCTGTTGGCAATGTTCGATTATTCAAATATATTTTGACTTCTGTTATGATTATTCAAATTTTCGACCCTCTATGGAGTAGGTTCCGAAGGAATGGGCCAATATTGTCGCTCCTAAATAAATGTGATATAAATATTGCGACGTGCCAGGCTTGGACTATATCGGTTACTTCCTTCACTTTATATGAAATATTTAATAATTTTTAGAAAATGTTAAAATATGCGTGATGTACCAGATGCTGGGCTCACGTCCATAGAAGACAACTTAATATGGTTTCTGAAATGAATTGTAGCCATAAATTGCTTCTCGTTGGGAGATCTTCTCTAAAAGTTTCCAATAGGTCTGGCTGATGCGCACGATAACCCTCGAAGGGAATATCCGATTTGATCCAAACTTGGTACATCGTAATATTATTGTCAAACTTAGATCGAGTTCGGAGATGGACAATATCGATCCACTCCTTCTGGCACCTCACCAACAAAAGGTCAAAATTTTCAAAAAAAAAAAAAAAAAAAAAAAAAAAAAAAAAAAAAAACTGCACAGAAGGGGAAAGGATAATCCCATTTTGCTTCAACATTGCAAACCCTAATATTTTTATTAATGCTATAGCAGGTGCGAAAATGGACAATATCGGTCCACTCCATCCAGTACCTTCTCCACAAAGGATCAAAATTTGGAATATCCATGAAGCTCATAAAACGCGAAATTAATATC